ATATGGGAGGACCTAGAGACCAGACTACTGGAATTAATTTGCATTTTGGTTGTAATCAGTAAAATATTAAATAATAATAATAATAATCACCTGCCTAAAGGAGCAACCTCAGAGCAGGCTCAACTTGTGTGACTGCTCAGGTCACTTGCCCTGGTCAATAGGGCAACCTATTGCATTGGTTATTTGTTATAAGCAAAGTGCACTGTAATACAAGATTATACTTACTTTTACTGCCAAGCCGTTGGATCTCTCCAACAAGCAGAGATACTTCATGTTGGACATTCATTGCCACTAGAAGTGTAACAAAATATAATAGTGTCACATGCCAATATTCTATGGGCATTCCCTGAAGCCAAAAACAATAGCAAGGGAGAGGGGGGTGTCATAATGTAGACATTTGAGTCATAACATCCCTTGTAATGTATTAGTATAATGTATTATAGGATAAACGGGCACCTGACTAAGACAGGATACACCATCACAGTATTATAAAGACAGGCTACATTTTTGCGAAACGGCCTACGCAGCAGCAAAAACATGTCAGTTTCACATTGTAACAAGCTGCAACATAAATTGCCTTCCATATGAAAAGTACCATTAATGCGGAAGTAGGCTAGCTGGGATCAGTAGGGTTTACACTATTTACCACAGCCACAAAGTCAAAATGTAACAATTCATGAATACAAAAGTCATTTTTGGTCTTAATTTAAGGTTAGGCATAAGATTAGCAGTGTGGTTATTGTTTGGGTTAAAAATCACATTTTAAGAAGAGAAATTGTAGAAATAGACGAGGTTTATGACTTTGTGGCTGTGGTAACTAGTGACGACCGATCACTACCCAAGGGAATTTAGAATCAATCATGTTGAAATACAGACGTGTAATCCGTTTCGAGAACCATTACTTGAGCTCTGTCTAACTTTTGACTATTTCGATCATTGTTTTTTTTTATATAATCAATTGATTATAGACTACATACGCACGGCTATGGCAGACAATGGAAGGAAATGCGGGAGGCTGCCGGCTAAAGTGATGACAGAGTTTAAATGTAGGCTAATAACCCAACAGACTACGCATTCATTCGTATGTTCTATTTCACATTAAATGGTTATTATGTTGCGGTATTTACCTGAGTAAGAGCGATATCCCCGATATCACACGATGCCTGAGTAGAATTCAACAGGAAGAATGAAGAGGGGCGACGCAAATTAAAACTGTACCATAAAGGGCAGTAATGCTGACGTCATGACCCCTCCTTCTCTGGATACAGCGAGGGGGAGCTTGGCTGTTGGACATGATTAGCTTGTCTTCGTTTTGCTATTTCCACTGCATTTATATGCTTCTGTACCTCTACCTTCTATGTTGATGCATGTGCTTAGTGTAGCCATTGACTACTGCAAACACAAAGCCATTCATTTAAAAAATATATATAAAAAAATATTTTAAAAGGCTACTGGCGTCTGGGTGTGTTTGAACTAAGGTTGTGTTTCAACCATATCTTTTTTATTCAAGGATAACTACAGAATAGGGTACTGGTTATGAGTCTTCCTGCCAATCATTCCAAGGGTTGTTTAAAATACTCAATACTCAGCCAGAGAGCCCTGAGGGCCAGAGGGCTCCGCCCAAACTGGCTCTTCACAACAGGTGGTCGTGCAGGTTGACCAAAATGTTCTAAACTGGTCAGGTAGGTTAGGCTTATGAAATATTCTGTGACCAGTGTGCCCTGTTTCCCTTATGGTCACTGTAGCCTACCTGACAATCACTCACCTAGCCCAGTTGGCAGAATTAGCAGCAGGACTCTCAAGATTCCCACTTCCTGTTCTTGGTTAGTTTCCTCTTGAACCAGAATCTGGCCTTGCAGGAGATGTGGATATGGCGAATCTCCTTTAAACCCAGGAAGCATCCATTCAACTTGCCATTCACCAGCTTTTAAAGCTTAATAATGTCAAAATACGTTTGTTACTCACCAAATATGGAGTTTCGAATAGCAACTATTGTAATTTACTGCCGTCATGGCCGATATCTACTTCCAAAAAAGGTCTAAATAAAAAGTTACATGCAACCGAAAGAAAAATCCTCATCGGCACCTCCAATGTATTGAGCTACTGTAGACTTCCAGCAATGACGGCAGTAAATGATGATAGTATATCCTTTATCCTTACCAGTCTCCCTGCTGCTGAAAAGCATCCCCATAGCATGATGCTGCCACCACCATGCTTCACGGTAGGGATGGTGTTAGACGGGTGATGAGCTGTGCCTGGTTTTCTCCAGACATAGCGCTTTGAATTCAGGCCAAAGATTACATTTTTGTCTCATTAGACCACAGAATCATTTGCCTTATGCTCTGAGTCTTTCACGTGTGCCTTTTGTCAAACTCCAGGTGTGTGGTCATGTGCCTTTTTCTCAGGAGTGGCTTCCGTCCGGCCATTCTCCCATAAAGGCCAGATTGGTAAAGTGCTGTAGAGACAGTTGTCCTTCCGGCAGGTTCTCCCATCTCAGCCAAGGAACTCTATAGTTCTGTCAGAGTGGTCATTGGGTTCTTGGTCACCTCCCTGACCAAGGTCCTTCTTGCCCAGTTGCTAAGTTTGGTCAGATGGCCAGCTCGAGGCAGAGTCTGGGTAGTTCCATATTTTTTCAATTTCCCAATGATGGAGACCACTGTGCTCTTGGAAACGTTCAACACTCTAGAAATTGTTTTATACCCTTCCCCAGATATGCCTTAGTACAATTATATCTCAGAGATCTACGGACAGTCAATGGACTTCATGGTATAGTTTCTGCTCTGACATGCACTGTTGGACCTGTGGTTCTTCTTCAAGGTTTCATAGGAAGATTATATCCAAAAAGGTGTATTGCTACCACCTACTGGGTGGGGTGAAAACATAGTTTAACCCCCCAAAAAAGGGGAATAGGGGAAAGCTTAAAAAAACTTCATAGTATTCTTACAAAACAAAAAGTACTCCTTCAAATTGGTCAAATGTACTGATCTCCCTACACAGGCTCTGGGGCCTGAGAGGGGGAGCATCTTCAGACAGTATTCCCTGTAATGTTTCACTGTGCAGTAGCTCAGTTGGTAGAGCATGGTGTTTGCAACGCCAGGGTTGTGGGTTCGATTCCCACGGGGGGGCCAGTATGAATTTTTTAAAATAAGAATGTATGCACTCACTAACTGTAAGTCGCTCTGGATAAGAGCGTCTGCTAAATGACGTAAATGTAAGTCCGTTTATTATATAATGGCGGTCCCCAAACAAACGTTAAAGGTGCACACCGCCACCTACTGTACCGGAGTGTGTCTCAATCACATCTTAAAACATTATCTCCACATTTCTAAATTCTTCTACCTAACTCAGTACTTCCGAGAAAATAAAAGAGCCCTACTAACAGACCCTCCCCCATCCCTAAAATCCCTTCCAACCCCCCCCAACCCCAATGACCCTACACTTCAATTTTTCCCTCTCTTCAACATACTGTACTTACAACAATATAACAACACATGCTCCACCATTTAAATCGACCATACACAAACCATTAACATGCTTGCCAACCAGATGTAATGACGAGTTCAATGTACAAGGTCCTAGGCGCAATCGAGCAAACACCACCTCTTCCTTCTTAATCTGACCTTTGAATCTTGGTCCACCAACCTTTCTTTGGAGGGCATATAAATGCCGGCCCTTGGGCTCAGAGTCCCATCTCTTCTGCCACACATCTATCAAAATGGAACATTAACATCAGTTATATGTCATTTTAAAGCCCTTTTGACTATCTGGTCTAGAATGTCATTCCCTTCCACACCCAACTGGGCTGGGACCCAACAGAATCTCACTACTACACAGTCTCTCAATTTTCCATAATAACATTAATGCCTCCAATAGTAGGTCATTCCTATTAGATTTGCCAGATGATAAACTATTCAATACAGACAGGGAATCTGAGCATACTATAATTTTGACAGGTTGAATGTCCTCTACCCACTGGAGGGCAACTGCTATCACCAACAGTTCATCTGAGTATACTGACTGTGAAGTCTTGGAGATCCAATAACCTTTTAGCCGTTTTCACAATGATTTCCAGTTTCTTTGATTTTTTTGTTAGTTTGTCCTGTACAATGAATCACTTGCGCAATAAACGCAGCAAAATCAACCTTCTTCACGATTAGTGTTCCAGGACCTCTCAACTGACTGACATCTGTCGGACAGGTGTGTTTCTTTCTAAATTATGTCCTAACAATTGAATTGGCCACAGGTGGACTCCAATCAAGCTGTATGGACGTCTCAAGGATGATCAAAGGAACTTGGATGCACTTGAGGTCAATTTGCAAACATTTCTAAAAATGTTTTCACTTTGTCATTATGGGGTATTGTGTGTAGATGGGTGAGAAAAAAATCAGTTTAATCCATTTTTAATTCAGTCTGTAACGCAACAAAATGTGGAATACATCAAGGGGTATGAACACTTTCTTAAGGCACAGTATCAACGTCTCCTGTAAAGCCAGATTCTGGTTCAGTGTCCTCATCATAAGCGAGGGAAACAACAGCAGTTTATAACGGCTGCACTACATATTCTGGACTGCACCTACCTCAATGAACCTCCCATGCCTGGTCAATCACAGCCATGACATTTTACTAGTGATAGTGCATCCCTGACTAACAAATATTATACACAGCAATGCTGTCCAGTGGCAATACACACGTGTTCATTCTCCCTCTAATCAGGGACTCATTCCAGGGTGAAGATCGCTAGACACCGACAGAGTCTATATCCACACACACAACTAGTAATTTAGCTATGGCAATTTGTGTGATCCGGGTCCCGGATTAGTGCCATGCAGACTCGCAACGTCTGTACGATGACATCACGGGGCATAGGACTGGCGGCTCTGACTGATGGAGAAAAGAGCCAGAAGACCCTGAAACTTTACGTCTAACATAATTTTGAATGATTCAGACTTGATTGAAACAACATACGGCAACGGAATAGAACCGGAAGAACTCCGTTTCATTTACTGTTGAATACCGACGGCCAGTCTCGGAAGTTGACTACTGCTGATTTGAGACTGGTTTTCTACCTGGCTAGCCAGCTACGTTAGCTAGCTGCTAACAGCTTGTAACGTTAGCTAGCTAACAGTAACGTTAGTAGCGAGGCCAGAGAGTCTAACTTTATCCATTGATAAATATTTAAGTAATTATCAGAAATAATCATAATTGTTCTAACCAGTCGGTACGTAATATTGCGACTGGGCTGGTTTTTGGGGACATTCAAGACCCCTTCTTGTCATAACTAGCACTTAGCTAAGCTAGTTAGCAAAGCTAACCAGCAACGTCGCTCCTCTTTCCCCCGTTTTGGGTCCAGTTCAGGCAAGTAAGGATAACGAAACAACTAGTTCGCTAAACGGGTACTTTTTATGACATAATGGAAAGTTTAACATTAACTGATGGAGAGCAGAAGTATTACTCTGATTTGTTCGTTTATTGCGATACGGACAACACCAAGAAAGTGGCTTCCAACGGCAGAGTTCTTGACCTTTTCCGAGCGGCCCAGCTACCCAGTGAGGTTGTCCTGCAGGTAGGCTACTTAAATTAACTAGCTAGCTAAACGTATCAATCTGTCAAATGTGATACAGGTGTGTTTGTCATGTATGTGGCGTTCATGTTGACAGTGGTGAACGTGACGAGACACACCTTCTACTAACCAGTTAGCAAAGTGAAAAAGGGCTTTAATGCTGCAGCTGGCTAACTAGCAAAGCCTGCTACACAGAATGAAGTTAGCAAGTTGCTAACATTACATTTTATACATGGCCAAAATGATGTAGATAGCCACATGTTCTTTCAACACCATAGCTATTTATTTTCAATGTTCTTCTAGCTGTCTTTCTGCTTGATATTCTTGTAATTTGAATCATAAGCTAGTTTAGCTATCCCAACTTGTTTTTGTAGCTAACCAGTTTTCAACAGTGGACAGCCCACTTCCTTCCTTGTGCATTTGATACTTTGTTGTTTTCTGGACTGGATACAAAGTTTACAGTATAGACACACTCTTTTATTTGTATCACCTTGATTCTATCCAAAGGTCACAGTGCTCATTTGACTGATTAACATGAATCCGATCCAAGATGTGAAGCCAGTAGAATGTGCATTGTAGCACAGACTGTGTTACTTGAACATAGTCATGTTCAGCTATTTCTTTGTATATTCTTGCTGTTATCAATTTGTGGGCTGACACCAACATTTCTGTTACGGTTGAAGGATTGCTGGGCTGTCTTTCATTCAAAGTGTCAGTTATTGACCGGCTCAGTCTAATTCCTAAGCCACTTGTACTGGTAGAGGCTATATAGAATTCATGTGATATGAAGGGGTTTGACTCACACTTTTGTTTCAACATTTACTGTGCTCTTTTGTGGGCCATGATATATGCTTTTATTTCCTCCCTAATGTAAAAACACAGGATTAATGGTTTATGTTATGGTTGTATATTATACTGAAGAATAGGCCTGATCCATAAATCTGAGATGTGAAATGTGGCCTATTTCCCATTGAAATGATGCTGACTCACTAGGCCTAGGCTGGTAGCTATATTTCTTACCAATGTTGGTCAAACCCTATAGCACCGCAATGGCAAAGTCTCAGGGAATAGGCCTTCTCCTTACCTCTAATTCAGATGCATCATTTTAGAAATGTCAGACCATTTTGTTTTATGACGACACAAGTCACATTGCTCAGTGAGCACACAAAGCAACAGCTGTCTTCCTGTGTTAGGAAGCAATGTCCTTGGAACTTTCTCTGCGAGAGACTGCAACATTCTCTCCCATGATCAACAATTTGGCACAAAACAGTAGTGCATGAACAGAATAGTGAGTTTATATCGCTCTACAGACCTACAGTATGTTGATAATGAGAGGAATTGCCCCTCCCTACCTTCAGGCTATGCTCAAACCCTACACCCCAACCCGAGCACTCCGTTCTGCCACCTCTGGTCTCTAGGCCCTCCCACCCCTACGGGAGGGCAGATCACACTCAGCCCAGTCCAAGCTCTCCTCTTTCCTTGTACCCCAAGTGTGAAACAAAAAAAAAGACTAAGATGTTAATTTGTTGTCTCAGATCACAGAGCTCTGTGGAGCCACTCGCCTGGGCCATTTTGGAAGGAGCCAGTTTTACATTGCACTGAAACTCATCGCTGTAGCCCAGTCCGGACTGCCTCTCCGGGTAGAGAGCCTCAATTCTGGTTAGTAAACTTCTAGAATGCTCCATCTATTAGAAATTAACCACTAAAGTATGAGAGCGGGTATTAGTCAAGGGGGGACACCGGACAATGTTGTTTACATCTTTTTATGTTTGCCTTTGGTGTGGTTTCAGTTAAATTCAGTCAGCCTATATTGAAGGGACAGTAGCCTAGTCATGTGTTTTTCACAATGGCACATTGCAACAACAGAGCTGATTGCGTAACTTCAAAGATGGAATAAGGATAGCCTACACTTACCAACATCCTCTCAATTGAATGGACACACAGGTCTAAAATACAAATGAGGCATTGTTTAGGCATTGAACTGAATACAGTGCATTCGGAAAGTATTCAGACCCCTTGACTTTTATTCCACATTTTGTTACGTTACAGCCTTATTCTAAAATTAATTAAATTGTTTTTTTCCCTTCATCAATCTACACACATTACACCATAATGTCAAAGCGAAAACAGGTGTAAAAATGTTAGCGAATGTATTATAAAAAAAAACCACCTGAAATGACATTTACATAAGTATTCAGAGCCTTTACTCAGTACTTTGTTGAAGCACCTTTGGCAGCGTTTACAGCCTCGGGGCTTCTTAGGTATGACGCTACAAGCTTGGCACACCAGTATTTGGGGAGTTTCTCCCATTCTCTGCAGATCCTCTCAAGCTCTGTCAGGTTGGATAGGGAGCGTCGCTGCACAGCTATTTTCAGGTCTCTCCAGAGATGTTTGATCGGGTTCAAGTCCAGTCTCTGGCAGGGCCACTCAAGGACATTCAGAGACTTGTCCCGAAGCCACTCCTGCGTTGTCTTGGCTGTGTGCTTAGGGTCGTTGTCCTGTTGGAAGGTGAACCTTCACCCCAGTCTGAGGTCCTGCGAGCTCTGGAGCAGGTTTTCATCAAGGATCTCTCTGTACTTTGCTCTGTTCATCTTTCCCTCTATCCTGACTAGTCTCCCAGTCCCTGCTGCTGAAAACATCCCCACAGCATGATGCTGCCACCACCATGCTTCACCGTAGGGATGATACCAGGTTTCCTCCAGACGTGACGCTTGCAATTCAGGCCAAAGAGTTCTTGGTTTCAGCAGATCAGAGGATCTTGTTTCTCATGGTCAGAGTCCTTTAGGTGCCTTTTGGCAAACTCCAAGCGGGCTGTCATGTGCCTTTTACTGAGGAGTGGCTTCCGTCTGGCCACTCTACTATAAAGGCCTGATTGGTATAGTGCTGCTGAGATGGTTGTCCTTCTGGAAGGTTCTCCAATCTCCACAGAGGAACTCTGGAGCTCTGTCAGAGTGACAATCAGGTTCATGGTCACCTCCCTGACCAAGGCCCTTCTCTCCCTATTGCTCAGTTTGGCCGGGCGGCCCGCTCTTGAAAGAGTCTTAGAGGTTCCAAACTTCTTCCATTTAAGAATGATGGCTTGGTTCTTGCTCTGACATGCACTGTCAACTGTGGGACCTTTATATAGACAGGTGTGTGTGCCTTTCCAAATCATGTCCAATCAATTAAATTTACCACAGGTTGACTCCAATCAAGTTGTAGAAACATCTCAAGGATGATCAATGGAAACAGGATGCACCTGAGCTCAATTTAGAGTCTCATAGCAAAGGGTCTGAATACTTATGTAAATAAGGTATTTCTTTTTTAAATGTTTTATAAAGTCTCATATCTGAGTCCATTAATAAGTAACAGGATGCAGATATATGGATGATCAGAGATGGAGCGTCAGTGTGGGTTTGCAGGAAATAAAGACGCACTATATATACAAAGGTATGTGGACACCTCTTCAAATTAGTGGATTCGGCTACTTCAGCCACACCCGTTGCTGACAGGTGTATAAAATTAAGCACACAGCCATGCAATCTCCATAGACAAACATTGGCAGTAGATTGGCCCGTGCTGAAGAGCTCAGTGACTTTCAACGTGGCACCGTCATAGGATGCTACCTTTCCAACAAGTCGGTTCGTAAAATTTCTGCACTGCTAGACCTGCCCTGGTCAACTGTAAGTGCTGTTATTGTGAAGTGGAAATGTCTAGGAGAACAACGGCTCAGCCGTGAAGTGGTAGGCCACACAAGCTCACAGAACAGGACCGCCAAGTGCTGAAGCGCGTAGTGCGTAAAAACCGTCTGTCATCGGTTGCAACACTCACTACCGAGTTCCAAACTGCCTCTGGAAACGACGTCAGCACAATAATTGTTCGTCGGGAGCTTCATGAAATGGGTTTCCATGGCCGAGCAGCCGTACACCAGCCTAAGATCGCAATGCCAAGCGTCGGCTGGAGTGGTGTAAAGCTCACCGCCATTGGACTCTGGAGCAGTGGAAACATGTTCTCTGGAGTGATAAATCATGCTTTACCATCTGGCAGTCCGACGGACGAATCTGGGTTTGGCGGATGCCAGGAGAACACTACCTGCCCGACTGCATAGTGCCAACTAAAGTTTGGTGAAGGAGGAATAGTGGTCTGGGGCTGTTTATCATGGTTCGGGCTAGGCCCCTTAGTTCCAGTGAAGGTAAATCTTAACGCTGCAGCATACAATTACATTCTAGGCGATTCTGTGCTTCGACTTTGTGGCAACAGTTTGGGGAAGGCCATTTCCTGTTTCAGCGTGACAGTGCCCCCGTGCACAAAGCGAGGTACATTCAGAAATGGTTTGTTGAGATCAGTGTGGAAGAACTTGACTGGCCTGCACAGAGCCCTGACCTCAACCCCATCGAACACCTTTGGGATGAATTGGAACGCTGACTGCGAAGCCAGGACTAAAACCCAAACCTCACTAATAATCTTGTGGCTGAATGGAAGCAAGTCCCTGCAGCAATGTTCCAACATCTAGTGGAAAGCCTTCCCAGAACAGTGGAGGCTGTTAAAGCAGCAAAGGGAGGAACAACTCCATATTAATGCCCATGATTTTGGAATGAGATGTTCGACGAGCAGGTGTCCACATACTTTTGGTCATGTATTGTACAAGCGAAGAATAGAGAACAAATTCAACAGGAAATCGCACAGCCTAAACAGGAAGCTGGGCCAAATATATTGGAGGAAAAGACTCAAAGTAGCTCTTGAAAACATAAACATTAGGCTTTGTAAAGCACCATTGATATATAATTTAAGTAAATCGACTAACACTTACCTAGATGTGGTTAATAATGCAGTTGAAAACAAATGTTGTGGTTGTCAATTTCAACACTTTTGTAGGCCATGTTGTAATAGGCCATACTAGACTACAACAGCTGACTAGTCAAGTCCTGCTAGTTGAGACAACTAGCTAGAGTGGATTTGAGGCAGTACTGTTATCTAACAGTGTTTCTCATCTACAGTCAAGGACTTGCCTCTGCCTCGCTTTGTTGTGGCCAAGAATGAGCACGAGGCCAGACACACAGCCATGTACCCGGACTCTGAGAACCAGGGGCCTTACCAGGGTGTAATCCCACGACCCCCAGGCCGAGGGCAGGTCAAGAAGGTGTCTGCCCATGAGGTCATTCAGTCCTGCGTGCCCACAGTAGAACCACAGGTCAGTGCCCCTCTGAGCATTTCTCTTATCAAGACATCTCTAGTGGAGAAAAATGTATGATACAAAACTATTTGAATGATATCGTTTCTTGACATATAGATCTGTCAGAATTACAATTCAAACTTTGATAGACATGAGGTTTTCATCTGTTATTTGCCACTCTTTGCAGCTGCAGCCCGACACCACATCCCCTGTGGTGTCTCCTCACCAGTCCCCTCCCACCTCGCCCCACTGGAGAAAGCACAAACGTCAGGCCAGCGGGGGGAACGTAGAGAGACAACCTGTGGTTGTGGCAGGTGCTGTCTGGACACCTTTCAGAGAAGCACAAGCAGGTACACACTCCACGCAACAACCTGTATCCTCTGTGAATGTTACAATCTGACAAGTTTTACAGTTTGTTGTAGATGTGTATTAACATCTGTACACAGTTGTAATGCATTGTTTTGGCTTTCCCCAGTCATACAACTATGACATAGCTTGTTAGATAAGTGAGAGGTTCAGCCAATAAACAGAACATGATTATTGATAATAACAATATTGATGGCGTTGAAGACATGCGTCTCCATAGTCCACTCACTCAATGCTTGAGTGTGCTCACTGCGTCAGCTAGGAGGAGCGCTGTGTAATCTAATTGCCCTGTCTGAGGCTGTGTAACTCTCCTCTCTCTACAGGACCTGTGGTGGCAGGTGATGGGATGTGGTCTGCCCACTCTCCTCCCCCTGTTCAGGAAAGCTGGGTCAGTTTGAAAGATGCTCATCCCCCCTCCTCCAGCACACTCCCAGCAATACATTCCTCGCCGGTCCAGGTAGTGCAGCAAATGCTTCCATGGACCTGGCATATTTCTCGTAATGGCTTAAAGGCATAGAGATGCCTCTTTTATCTTCACTTAGTTTCTGGCCTATTTCACTAGATGCTCTATTTCATTGGCTAATGTTTCCCCCTCATATAACTACATACAGTGCATTCGGAAAGTATTCAGACCCCTTGACTTTTTCCACATTTTGTTACGTTACAGCCTTATTCTAAAATGGGTGAAATTGTTTTTTTCCCCCCCTCATCAATCTACACACAATACCCCATAATGACAAAGCGAAAACATGTTTTTAGAAATGTTTGCACATTTATTAAAAATAAATCTATAACATTTACATAAGCACCTGTGGCAGCAATTACAGCCTCGAGTCTTCTTGGGTATGACGCTACAAGCTTGGCACACCTCTATTTGGGGACTTTTTCCCATTCTTCTCTGCAGATCCTCTCGAGCTCTGTCAGGTTGGATGGGGAGCGTCGCTGCACAGCTATTTTCAGGTCTCCAGAGATGTTGGATCGGGTTCAAGTCCGGGCTCTGGCTGGGCCACTCAAGGACATTCAGAGACTTGTCCCCAAGCCACTCCTGCGTTGTCTTGGCTGTGTGCTTAGGGTCGTTGTCCTGTTGGAAGGTGAACCTTCGCCCCCAGTCTGAGGTCCTGAGCGCTCTGGAGCAGGTTTTCATCAAGGATCTCTCTGTACTTTGCTCCGTTCATCTTTCCCTCGATCCTGACTAGTCTCCCAGTCCCTGCTGCTGAAAAACATCTCCACAGCATGATGCTGCCACCACCATGCTTCACCGTAGGGATGGTGCCAGGTTTCCTCCAGACGTGACACTTGCCAAAGAGTTAAATCTTGGTTTCATCAGACCAGAGAATCTTGTTTCTCATGGTCTGAGAGTCCTTTAGGTTCCTTTTGGCAAACTCCAAGTGGGCTGTCATGTGCCTTTTACTGAGGAGTGGCTTCCATCTGGCCACTCTACCATGAAGGCCTGGTTGTCCTTCTGGAAGGTTCTTCCAGCTCCACAGAGGCTCTGTCAGAGTGACCATTGTGTTGTTGTTCACCTCCCTGACCAAGGCTCTTCTCCCCCTAGGAAGTAGTTCCAAACTTCTTCCATTTAAGAATGATGGACTCCACTGTGTTCTTGGGGACCTTAAGTGCTGCAGAAATGTTTTGGTACCCTTCTCCAGATCTGTGCCTCGACACAATCCTGTTTCGGAGCTCTACAGACAATTCCTTCCACCTCATGGCTTGATTTTTGCTCTGACATGCACTGTCAACTGTGAGACCTTATATAGACAGGTGTGTGGCTTTCCAAATCATGTCCAATCAATTTAATTTACCACAGGTAAGGGTCTGAATACTTATGTAAATAAGGTATTTCTATTTTTAATTGTTTATACATTTGCTAAAAATTCTAAACCTGTTTTCGCTTTGTCATTATTGGGTATTGTGTGTAGATTGATGGAAACAAATATTTAATCAATTTTAGAATAAGGCTGTAACATAACAAAATGTGGAAAAAGTCAAGGGGTCTGAATACTTTCCGAATGCACTGTAGCTACTGCTAGTTCACTGCAATAAGTCGGGAGCAGTTCTTTGTCCAAACAAGCAATATTCTTTGTAAGTGGTTTGAGGTATTTGAAGACAAATGCTTGCAAACGCATCTCCCCCCTCCTTTTCTGCTACTCTTTTGTATATTTTCCATTGTCTGTGTACTCGTTGCTTATTAGTACTATCACAACTCTTTAGGGCAGGGGTGTCAAACTCATTTTAGCTCAGGGGCCACATGGAAGAAAATCTATTCCCAAGTGGGCCGGACCGGAAAAATCATGGTATATATATAACTTAAAAACAACAACTTCAGATTGTTTTCTTTGTTTTAATACGATCAACATACAACATAAAGCTGGAGCCTGAGGACAGTGTCCAAAAGCACAACATCACTATTAATCATAAAACACCTCAAGTTATTTGAAAGTTCTGAGGACAAAGAACACACAAACACACAATGCCTCAGTGATTCACAGAAGTATATCACAGAACTATATCAGGGTGTCATTTCTCAGGCAGAAATGTAGATAAAAATAATGAAATCCTGTTCCCCAAACAAGTGCAAGAACCACAGAGTCAAGAATAGGTTAAATATACAAATAAAATAAAATAAATTAAAAACAATAGCACATCAACATAAAAACATATAAACATAAATCTGAAAGCGTTGCTCAAACTCCCGTAACAGTCCCGTTATTTTATCTTTGAACCGCTTCATGTCTGCCACATGTTGGGTCGCGCACACATTTTTCAGACAGGGGAAGTGAGCTGCATCACCACCGGAAAGTTGCGTCTCCCACAACGACAGCTTCAACTTGAAAGAACGTATGCTGTCATAATACTGCGTGACAACTTTGTTGCGCCCTTGCAGCTGTTTGTTCAAGTTATTCAGGTGCTCTGTAACATCCACCATAAATGCAAGGTCCTGCATCCATTCTGCGGAATGAAATTCTAACACTGGTTTTCCCTTTTCTTCCATGAACTGTTCAATTTCTTCTCGTAAATCAAAGAAACGCCTCAGCACCTCGGCTTAACCATCTTACCTCAGTGTGGTATGGCAGGCCATAGATGTGGTCTTTCTCTCTGAGAAGGCTGTCAAACTGACGGTGATTCAGGCTTCTGGATCGGATGAAATTAACAGTTTGGATGACCACCTTCATGACGTTATCCATCTTTAATGACTTGCAACACAAAGCCTCCTGGTGCAAAATACAGTGAAAAGTCAAAAAATCACGTCCTCCATTTGCAGATTGCACTTTCTCTCTGAACTTTGTCACAACGCCTGCTTTTTTCCCGATCATTGAGGGCGCACCATCTGTAGCCAGGCTGACAGCGCGGGACCAGTCCACTCCGACCCTGTCCAGCGCGCCGACGAGTGCGGTAAAAATATCAGCTGCTGTCGTTGTATCTGTCATCGGCACCAACTCCACGAACTCCTCGGTGACGGTCAATGTGTCATCAACTCCGCGGATGAAAATGGCCAGTTGTGCAACATCTGTAATGTCCGTGCGTTCATCAATTGCAACCGAAAACGCAATAAATGACTTTACTTTTTGCTTCAACTGGCTGTCCAAATCCACTGAAAGATCGGAAATCCTGTCTGCAACTGTGTTTCTTGTCAGGCTGATATTTGCAAAAGCCTGCCGCTTTTCAGGGCACACAATCTCCGCTGCCTTCATCATGCATGTTTTTACAAATTCACCCTCACTAAATGGTTTTGAAGCCACTGCGATTTCATTAGCAATGAGGTAGCTAGCTTTCACTGCAGCGTCACTGATGTCTCGGCTGTGAGTAAACACAGACTGCTGTTTCTTCAGACCCGCCAACAGTTCATTCACCTTCTCTCATCTCCGCTGTCCTTGAAAGTTGTCATATTTGTCGGCATGAAGACTCACATAGTGGCGACGAAGGTTATATTCTTTCAGCATAAATAGGATGACCATTTTTCTTGGAACACTCTGCACTCTGCGTCCACTTTTCTATTTTTTGACAGAGACATATTGGGGCAATGAGGGTGCCAAAGCACATAATGTTAAAAGTAGAAGCCGTAATAAATATCGCGGGCAAAACAAAGTAGCTCATTGGCTGCACGTGCTTGACCTACTTGCTCTGCCCCGGTATAAACAGTTTGCTTGCTTAACACACTTGCTATTGCGCCATCCAGTGGACGCAATTGGAACAGCAGTTTATTTTATTGAAAAATTGCAGTGCATTTTCATACTTTACAAAATTATTATTAAATATATATATATATTTTTCAAAATCATCTCGCGGGCCGGATTAAACCCGTTTGCGGGCCTGATCCGGCCCGCGGGCCGGACGTTTGACACCCCTGCTTTAGGGGATTGTTTCAATATGTTTTCTCTCTCTAAATGTTTCACGTGACTGTCTTTAGGAGAACTCTTCGATACGAACAGTTGCATCTGCTTCAACAACCAATGAAATCCAAAGACAGTCCAGTGGTGGTTATGACGACCCCTGGAAAATCACAGACGAGCAGAGACAGTATTACATCAATCAGTTCAAGACCATCCAACCAGACCTCAACGGTTTCATTCCTGGTGAGTAGTGAGCTTTGTTTGAAACCACCTTTTACACGTATTCACCTTAAATCAGCAATCTGCAGTTGCTTCATCCAATTTTGGACTTATAAATTAATGATATGTTATTCAAGAATCAACTGTCGTACCCAATCAGAACCCAACATATACGTTTGTTTTACACCAATGATTGTAAACGTTGTAAATGCCTCAACATGCTTAGAACTATCATTTCTCCAGGCCCATCCCTCAGCTTTTTACCAAAACAGAGGCAGGGAACCGCTTTGTTATTGTTTCAATTAAGAATTGGCCCTTTAAAAGTTACAGGGACTGGCTGTTATGCTACAGTGATTGACCCAGCACAATCTGTTTTTCCCTTCCTCTATATTTCAGGTTCTGCCGCAAAAGAATTTTTCACTAAATCAAAGCTACCTATTCTTGAACTGTCCCATATTTGGTAAGTTATTCAAAAGTGTGCTATTGGCTTTAGTTGAGATGCTCCCCATATGTAATGATGGAATTATATTATGAGCCACCTGCTGTATTCTTAATCCAGGAAGCAATACCAAAGAATGGAATATATGACCCTCAATAACTCCTCTTCAATTTAATGAATTTGGATAACTCTTGCTCAGTGATTGAATTCACAAGGGATTCGAGCAGTTCTCTATTCACGAGTGGGTTGTCTTTTTTGCTGATTAACGTTCTTTGCATTACAGGGAGCTGTCGGATTTCGATAAAGACGGGGCCTTGACACTGGATGAGTTCTGTGCTGCATTTCATCTGGTTGTTGCTAGGAAAAACGGCTATGATCTTCCCGAAAAGCTGCCGGAGAGTCTTATGCCAAAGCTTATTGACTTGGATGACTCAGCAGGTAAAAGCTGGTGCTCTCCTCCTGCTATATAATCAGAATTTGTCCAAATCTGGCCTTGGGACCGTCTGCTGCAGACAGTTGATTTATGAAACACAGAGAGAAATTAGCATGATTGAATGGAACTGTCATCTTGATTTATATAAATATTCCAGAGGTTCCAGACCAGGCCCCTGACGTGGGCTACTCGGGCTCCCCCGTGGAGGTGACCCCCAACAAGTCCCCCTCCATGCCCTCACTCAACCAGACCTGGCCTGATCTCAACCAGGGCAACGAGGTTGGACACAGAACCACCACATGTTATCACTGTAAAATAGGACATTGTTGAACTTTTGCCATTCCAGCATTTTGCAAATTACTTCTCAATTAAGTGATCGATAAGGGTCTTTCCGTTGCTAGGTTTTAGTAGCTATCCTCTTGCAGTAATTTCCTAATTCAGTATCTTTCTTGTCCATTTTTGAGAAACACAGGTTAGTACTTACAGAAAGCTACAATTGTTGATATTCTCAATCAGTCAGTTTGCTCCATTTCTGTTTAGCTAGTTATCATTCTTAGATCAAAGTGTTTTCACTAACCAGGTTCCAGCCAATATCCTCACTATTATTAATGGATTATAAGTGATGATAAATGCAGTTCATCACCCCCTCCTGTGTGAGAGCAGTGGGGTTTGTAACTGGGTGGGGAATCATCCTGTGTGCTGATGTGTTTCTGCTCTGTCTCTCTAGCAGTGGGAGACTTTTAGTGAACGCTCCTCCAGCTCACAAACTCTGACCCAATTTGATTCTAACATTGCACCAGCTGACCCTGTAAGTCCATCACTTAGTATGCATGTTTCAGTATTAATTATGAAATTAACCCAATAACTAATTGAGAGCTGGCTCTCAGAGTGCATGTACTTAGTGCTACTGGATCCACCGCGACGGCAGTGCCCATGTGATTTTGCTTGCTTAGCTTATTGGCTTTTTTCTGTCCCATACTATGATTTTAGAATATGACCTTGTGGGCGCTACAAGGTCCTGGGATATTAGCTAAATGTTAGCAAAATTTAATATCTTTCACATATTCCATTTTCTCAATCTGCATAATTGCCATGAATAGAAGCCTTTTCTAACCTTTACAAACTGTTCTGACAATATGAAAGATTTCAATCCTAATGGCAGTATGTGGGCTTATGATCAAACTAAGACACCTCTGTCCTTACAGGATACAGCCATTGTCCACCCTGTCCCCATCCGCATGACCCCAAGCAAGATCCATATGCAAGAGATGGAGCTGAAGAGAACCGGAAGTGGTAAGAGCTCTGTCTTCTAAAGCAGCGTTTACTTTGGAGACTCGATCAACTAGCAACTCTCAATAATTTTACTGGAAGTAGTGAAGGGATGCACTACCTTTTTCTAAATGCTGTTAAGGGAATTTACCGTTTTTTTTCTTCTCATTCCTGTAGACCACACCCATCCTACGAGTCCCCTGATGGCTAAACCACCAGACCTCTCAGAAGAAACTAAGCTTGCCACCTCTATGAAGTTTGTAACTGCTAACTCTGGTAAGTGTCTCAAGGGATGTGCCATTATAAAGAACTTACGACGGTTGCAATTTGTAGGTAGATCTATTGTAGGAAATATGGCCTATGTGACCATAATTATATTGCATTTCCTTGAGGCATGGTTAAACATACAATACTCGTATTTCTCTCCTAAAGGTGATGGTTATAGCAGTTCAGATTCATATACTTCGGATCAAGACCCAATTACAAGTGTTGTATCTAGACAAAGGTAAGTTGGTCTCAATATCTAGAGATATTCGATGTCAAAACACATGTGCGTTGTTTATTGAAGAGTTTTTGAATGGTAAGCTCACTAGCTGTGTTTTAGGTCTCATTCTGGGAACTCTCCTGAAGGACTGAAGGTGGTGGCTGCCCCCCCACCGCCCCCTCCCAGACCCCACGCCTCCCACTCCCGCTCCTCCTCGCTAGACATGAACAGAAGCTTTGCGTCTGTCCCCACCGGGCCACAGTTGGCTGGAGTCGTGGCCTACCCTCCAGCCGTGCCTCCTAGACCACTACCCACACAGGTAGAACAATCAGTACAGACCTGAAGACTTTTATCAAAATGTTGCCTCCTCTGTGTAGTCTTTAATAGGAAATGTACATATTGAAATTCTGAAATCTCCTTACTTTATATTGTTCTATTGACTCTACACAGACTACTACTACTACTACTACTACTACTACTAAGGGAGTGAACGTTATTTATAATAAGTGTTACATGGAGAAAATCGGACGTCTCTGAAATGAAAATGGATAGCACTCCTTTCAGCAAAATATATTTGATCTAAACCCTCCCTAAATGCTTGGGGGGGAAAAAGGTGACATATACCCAAAATAATAATTAAAACGAAGTGGATAGCAGAGAACATGCCTACTGTTTACCCTCACTTCTTGGACAGACCAGAGCCTTAGATATGCAGTTTTAGAAACGGTTATTTGTTCTGTAAGCATTACATTTTACATTTTAGTCATTTAGCAGACGCTCTTATCCAGAGCGACTTACAGTTAGTGAGTGCATACATTATTTATTTTATTTTTCATACTGGAATCGAACCCACAACCCTGGTGTTGCAAATGCCATGCTCTACCAACTGAGCTACATCCCTGCCGGCCATTCCCTCCCCTACCCCGGTCGCGGCCGGCTACGACAGAGCCTGGATTACATGGCAATGCAGGATTTCTTTTTTTGTGCACAGGGCTGCAGGCCAGAAGGTTGTGAGTTCAGAGACCACTGTGGATAACAGTAGGGGTGGAAAGATCTCCTTTATAATAAAAGCATTTGCATGAATCTATCATATTTCTAGGTGCGAGGGGGAAAAAATTGCCATTTAGAAACATTTCATGCAATTCTACATAATTTGAGATATTAGCAGAATCTTTTTTTAATACCCCATAAATGACAGAAATGACAGGCTAAAAATGGAGAGATATACCTATGTGTTCATCTTGCCATATTTCTCCAATGCCAAATCAGTGTGTTTTGTTTGCGACAAAACTGTCCCTGTTTGCAAATAATCATTAGGAATCTGAGCATGGTACTTTCAAAGTTAAGCCTACCTTTCCACCCTTAGACAGAGTAGGCCTACTGACGCAGAAAAATATAAGCTTTAACTACTGGCTACTCTTCTTCCGTGGCTTAACGGAAGTCCTCTGTAGCTCAGCTGGTAGAGTACGGCGCTTGTAACGCCAAGGTAGTGGGTTCGATCCCTGGGACCACCCATACACAAAAAAAGAAAAATGTATGCACGCATGACTGTAAGTCGCTTTGGATAAAAGCGTCTGCTAAATGGCATATTATTATTATATTATTAACCCAACGAGAGGAGGTCACAAGTGTTTCCCTAAAAGCTGTCTTAAACATCTTCTATTGTGCAGAAAGTGAATAGCTTAATCAATTGATAGTGACCGAATTAGATTACTTCCCAAACAAAGTACATTTTTGTCTCCTCTGTAGCTCAGCCTCTGATTGTCAAAGAAACAATATCCTCATATGCATCGGAGTCACGTCTTTCCTGGGTATTTTACAGCTCGTTTCTAGCATAAAGCATCACGGATAATCGGATCTGTAATTTTTTCCCCCTCTAAATCTTAAGATAGCGATGGGTAGGCCTGTGCTTTTTCTTGCCATATTCTTTAATAAAACGTAGGCTTATGGCAAATCTATGGATATAGCAGCCTATAGCCTGTGGTTAATTACCTCTGTCAAACAGGTAGGCCTACCTCTTATTTCTTAAATAGGAAGAAATAGGCTCCAACACAAAGCCCTCTTGTTGTTAGTGAAGTCTAATTTAAAATGAAGACTGTTGAAATTAATTATGCCTACTGTCCATTGGTTGTGCCTCGGCTGCTGCTTCAAGTTTCAGCACCACAATATAAGTTACTCGAATCAATAACTCTGAATACATCATGTGCAATAAACTTTTAATTTAAAAAAACAAATCAAAGCTATCAAAGTTGACCTCCGGTCCTCCCTCATCTTCACGCTCTCCTCCTCAAACTGAACAGAACGTAAGTTATAGGGTAGTCCGCGCACAAGATATTGCATTTTTGGACTATTATTTTCGGAAGAAACCTTTGACTCTCCTTCTGAACTGCCACCATAGCCCTACACAGCACATACATTGGTTAAGCAGCACACAAAAACATTTTTGATCAGCAAGAGCAGAGCAGCTCAGGGCTCAGGGTTGGAATATCCATTGCAGTGTGTAATGCAGCCTAGTTTTATTTACACCATCCCAGCAGCGATCTTAGTAATATAACTTTGCTCTGTGCTTCTCTGAGCATGCACTTCATAGCCTATGGATAATTTGATTGAGACTACACTAAATAGCCTATGAGCGCACTTGATATTGCACATCTCCTAATAAGCAACTAATACTAAAACACTGAGAAATATTAAAATTTCATCAATTACAAATTACATGACCCTCCCCTGGACTAGATTTAAAAAATACTAAACCCTCCCCTTGATTGAAATTGAAAAAGCATGACCTTCTCCCATTTTCCTCCAAGTACCCATTCAGTAAATATCGATCCACCTCTAAGTCATTGACTAAGTAATCTCCAGTTCAAGGTTGTTTTCAATATGCAGTGTTCAGTCTGAACCCTCTGTCTATCCCCTTTGTCGCCAGACCTCGGGTCCCCATAGTGGGCATCGCTTGGATGAGGGCCTGGCAGCTCACTCCACTACCTCGCCCCAGCAGATCCCGGAGCAGCCCAACTTCGCTGACTTCAGTCAGTTCCAGGCGTTCGCTGCCTCAGATCAGCGGAGCGACGACGGGGAGAAGCACCCAGAGAGTCTGCCGGTAAGTAAGACACAGTACAATACAGAACCACCCTGCAGTTGAAGGTAACCTAACCCGGTTCTATCATATTTGCGCTGTTATAATAAAAGACACTGAGATTGTTAGTGCTCCATTCACAGGTAGAAAAGTCTTCAGAAGGTGCTGGGCCTTTGAGAACCGTGAAGAGTGACAACCAGGAAGAGAGAGCTGCAGCTACTGTGAACTCTGTAAGTAGTTGACTTATTTAGACCATGATGCACCTCAATCAATCACCCCAACTACCTCGTACCTCAGTATACTGACTCGGTACCTGTATATAGCCTCTTTATTGTTATTTTGTTACTATTTTAATTTGTATCTTAATATTGTTATTGATATTTTGTTACTATTTACATTTTTATCTATTTGTTAATTTTCTTACTTTTTAACTGCATTGTTGGGAAAGGACTCGTAAGTAAGCATTTCACAGTAAAGTATTTTATTCGGCGCATGTGACAAATAGCATTTTATTTTATTTGATGCCAATACTGGGGGCCTCAATGTCCTCCTTTCATGCATATGGTTCATTTCAGATGATTTCTACAGTGTGTTTGTTTTTTCCCTGTCAGGCCAAAGGGTCCATCATGGCCCCCCCACCCAAGCCTGTCCGCCGGAGACTGAAGTCTGAGGATGAACTCCAGGAAGAGGCCCTCCCCCTGAAGTCTAACGTCATAGCCACTGTTCTAGCTATACAGCCATCCATTCCCAGGTAGGAACAGGGGCTCCATATGAATCTGAATAGTGACTGGTCTGTCGTTGTTGATTTATTATAGATCACTTAATTGGCATCGAAATGAAGAAATTAACTTTGTAATTTAAAACAAATACAGGTCGATTGGGAAGGATAAAAAAGCAATTCAAGCCTCTATCAGAAGAAACAAGGAGACCAACACAGTCTTGGCCAGGCTCAACAGTGAATTACAGCAACAGCTAAAGGTAGGGGAGTGTTTAAACACAGCACATGCATACTAACCAATCTGTTAGTGAACTGAACCTGAGGCTTGTTTTTGAACATTTTGGCTTCAAAAAAGCAAAGCCTTTAACAAGGTTGAACTTCAGTCCTAATTTTAGGTTCTTTATCTTGTTGTTTTTCATTCATAGGACTTGCTAGAAGAGAGGATATCTTTGGAGGTTCAACTGGAACAGCTCAGACCATTTTCCCATTTGTAACCTGTGTGTGTGAGGAGGACAAGTCCATCAGAGCAGATAGGAGAGGCCTGAAGGGGCCTTTTGTGTGATTCACATAGTGTTCTCCCGATGTCCACTCCCTCTGTGTTCTGCTGTCTACTGTGGGAACCAGACTCTGTCATCGACTGACTGCAACAACATACCCTGAGTCAACCTCATCGGACAGAGAACAGTCTTACCAGAGCGGCTGGGATGGGAATGTTACAAATATTGGCACTTTATTTATCAAAGAAATAAAGATTATTGTAGACGTCAATCCCTTATAGTAGCACAGGCCCCAGATGGCCAGGCAGGCAGGCATAGAACTGGAACTTGAGTCATGGGGTACTGAAGGCCAAGTTCCCTCCCCCATTTTTCCCCATGATGACAAGTGTCCAGTTCACTGAATGAGAGGAGCACACTGTGGTCTGCCTGTACTGTGCTGTGTGTGGGCCTGGCCGCCCGGGCCCTGTCGAGGACAGATAATCATACCAGCGAGGGCATTGGGTGAGGAGAGGGGAGGAGTCTATGGGAGATGATGCTCTATCCTGGAGCGCCTTGGACTGATCATGTGACAGGAATTCATTAATGTTCCAGTTTATTACAGCCTGTCTGTGTTCAGCTCTGTGTGTGTGTGTGTTTGGATGTATGTGGGCAGGCAACGGTTACATAAACTGCACAATGCAATGAGTGTATGTATGCGTTCTTCTAGTTTTCACTAGTCTTCTGCGATTTGATCTCTTAACACAGTGAGCTGTATTACCTTGTGAAGTGATCGACCCCCAGATGACGGAACACCTTTTAGTTTTCGCTCCTGGCTCTGTAGTTGCTCATGCTGACGCTGCCTGTGCCTGCTACCACGATACATTCTTTGAATCAGCCCTATCCCAAACACACTATGGAAGTGAGACCTGAATGAAAAGACTGCACTTTCCCCCTTTTTTTTTTAACCTGCATGTTGTTCATGTTCTTATCTAGTATGAAGACTGCGCTTCAAAATATACCACTTGATTTCTACCTGTATATCTTACCTAGTATGACATTTGTGGTGGTACCTAAACCTTGTGTAACTGTCTATTTTTTCTTTTTTTTCTTAACTTGGCCTCAAAAGCCTTACTCCTGGCGTTCAGGTTTCCACTGTAATCTATTCTCCCTGTATTGAACCAAGGTGAGCCGCCTTTTCCCCGCTGTTCAGGTTGATGTACTGTATAAGGGGTATGTTGTATATTGTATATGATACACACCTTTTGATCTCATATGTACATTTGCATTAATTGCTGACTAACAGCAAATATTCTATTTAATTGCTTATATTATGGCTGTGGGATGATAGATGTTTAACTGCATGGATGTATCTCTGCAGAATGAACTAGCAGCTGTGTGATTTTTACACAAAATAAAAACGGCACAATATTTTAACCACCTTTTTCCGGTTCAGATTTTGTATTGCTGATTTGACTGACTCAAGCAGTCCCAAGGTATACCGTTGGAAGAAATGCTTGTATTGCTACATTTTAAGTCTTGATAGTAAAATTTGATGCATTCCAGTCTGACAAGATCCTTTATAAGCTGATGTAACATTTTTCATAGAACTTGGGCAAGTAAATAATCAGAGATACAGTGGTGGTGTTTTTGTCAGGTCTCATTTACTTATATTGCTTAGTTGTACGTTGCTGTGCAGAAGAGTACAAAAGGAACAGTAGCAATTAACATGAAGTGAAGAGCAGTGAGCAGGTTTTACTCAAGGGCAACAGCAGTACTATATTCTATTTCCTCAAGACAACAGGACTTGGTGCGTTATTTATAGTTAGGTTCTTACAGCAGGATGAGCTCTAGTTACACATAATATACAGTAATACAATTACTTGTAATATGATCAACAACAACAATGATGACAGGTTTCACTTCTGTTTCTAGTTGACCATGTGAAATCATCCTGAACATTCTGCTTCGTGTAGTGGTGCACGGTGGGGTCTCCTCCAATTTCTACTTCACCACTCTGGAAAGGAAATAAGGTCAATTCAAAATCCACTTCATGACATTGTCTCCTGTCTCACTTTAAAATGTACTTGCTATAAAACCTGGTATGATTTGTAATTTTATTATTATTGGTCCACTGACACAAAAGCACTCACACAGTGGTCTGTTTGTAGCGGTCTAGGGCCTCCTGCGCCACCACCTCAGAGAACTTGGAGTCATTCCAGGGGATGTCTCCAGGCACACTGAAGGTCATGGCGGGGGTGTCAAACAACTGGACAGACACATTGGTTTCCCCTGGCTTCTCAGGGTCCTCTGTGTCCTTGGACATGACCTTGGAGGAGTTCAAGACATAAGTCTATTCATAAGACCATGTTACAAAGAAATAGGTAAGATACTTTAGTAATAGAAACGCAATGCAGACTATGGAGTGTCACCGTTTTGATCTTAAAGATTCCATCGTTGGTGTTGTTGGCCAGGGCAGACACCCAGCCAAACTGCTTGCTAAAAAGGTCCAGCAGGCTGGAGGTGTTGGACATCTGCTCCTCAAACCTCCTCAGCCGCTTGCTGTACTCCTGAGTGTACTTCTCTGCCATGGCCAGGGCCTGCTCCAGGTCCTTCTTCAGAGGACCAGCCAGAGGCTTCTTCCCTGAGCAGTCTGGAGGAGAGAACCACAATTCATGTAATACACAACTCTATAGTCAACAGAGTCGCTGGTGTCCCTCAAGCCCTATGTCAGCAATATTTGGTGTGATGTAATAGCAACTTATTATACCTGACTCAGCGAAGGCATGACTTTATGGTATCGTAGACACTTGAAAGTGTAGGTGTACAAGCCAGTGCATGATGAATGCTACTCCCTGTGATGTGCCAATGATAATCCTGCTTGTTTTTGTTGAGACCTGTTCTGACCTCTGAGTTTTGAATCACCTGGGTTATATGAATGTTGCAGAATTGTGCGAAAGAGAAATACTAATAAATATGATGGGCTTTACCAATATCCTGGATCGCTACACATTTTTCACACTCTCCTCGCAGTTTAATGCAGCCAGCAGAATTGCGACGTATCTCTCTGCAGGTCATACCAGAAGGCTTTGTCACAACAACATCCTCATTCACACTCCCCTCTGTGGAAAAAAGAAACCCAAGATAATTTATGTAAACGTTATAAATCATATTATTGTATAATAACAGTTGTTTAATTAGGACTGAGGTATACCCTCTGAGGGGTTGATGTCAAAGTTAGCATCTGCGTCCATGACAGGCCCCATGGAGCCGAAGATATTCCGGGCCATGTCCATCATGGGAGCGAACATGTTGTGGAACCCATGGAAGTCTGGGTCCTGCAAAGGGGACCTGACCATACGGGAGCGCACCTCGCCCGCCTCTGCCCTCTCACTCTGACCCCAGATGCTGGGCATGCGGAAGGGGCTGGAGAACATGGGAGGGTTGAGGGAGCGCATGTGGTCAAACACCCTCATGCTGTCCATGAAGATGCTGTCCACCCCATCGGCCACGTCGGAGTAGCGCTCCTCCAGGTTCTGGAACCTCTGGCTCTGCTCCTGGTCCTCCCGCTCCAGAACATCCATGTTCTCCCCGTTGATCCAGATGGAGAATGGAGAGGTCCTGTTCAGAACCTCCTCCAGCTGAGAGAGAAACAGGAGAAAGCAGCTAGTACAACAGTGACCTATTTTATTTGGAAGGATTGTATAACAATAGCTTAAACACATTGATCAGCTGTACTGCTTGTCTCTGTGTAAGTCTAGCTCACACAACATATTTGAACTACAATTGCAAACCAATGTGGAGATTGATTGATGATAGTTCTGTGTAGTTGAGGCGGTACCTGTCTGCCGATCAGTCTAGCGCCACTGCTGCAGGTCTTGGAGTAGTACTTGATACAGGTGTTCTTCAGGCAGGGCTTGCACTCCTCCCACAGAGACTGCATGGTGCCGTTACACACCTCCTGCTCCTCACTCAGTTTCGTCTCCATCTCCTGAGCTGCCTTCAGAGCATCCTGGGAAACAAACACAGCAACCGAGTCAGTGGTCTAAAAAGAACTTGGTGACTATTGCTGATGAATTGCACACAAAATGTACAGTGTGATCTTAATTTTGTCCAAAACAGTGATGACAGCTCATGGTACAATACGTCAAATGTACTGTACCTCTTTTTGCTGTTTAGTTTTCTCCAGGGCACTCAGGAACTTATTGTGATCCTCTCCAGACCTCTCCATCACTGTCTTCATCTCCTTCACCCCACTGATGGCATTCTCTATCTGCTTGTCCAGGTACTTCACCCCCAGGAGAGAAATCTCTGCAGAGAACAATTGCTCAAAATAAATCTCCACAGCGACTTAAATGGACTTAAAATTCACAGAACACCCTGCATTATACAGTATACTGCTATTCAGAACAATTTGAAGATATTTTTGTAATATTTAGTTATATGATGGCTTACGGCTTAGATCCTCCTTGGATGGAGGCAGCAGACACTCAGTAGATAGCAGAAGCAGAGCAAGGCCCACTAGTGACCCAAAGACTCTCATCATTCCTGTTTCTTAGATCCCAAGCGACTGATGCAGTACACACCTGAAAAACAGACATGATACAATATAACTGGCAAACCTAGATTTAATACATTTATGGGGGAAAACATCTATGGAAGCTACTTGGGGCTGAGGGTATTTCGGATGTAATCATAACACCTCTTGTGAAAAGCACTGCAAAAGGACCTCATAGTCCACGTCTGACCTTGGTGTTGTTGTGATGTTGATAATACCCACTAGAGGGTAATGTTGCCCATCTAACAATGACAATAGCGTGACACAGCATAATTTAAATCCTTTTCCTTTAATGCTGACATTTACTGATTTGTTCCAAAGGATAAAGTGTCTTTATACTGCATTACATCATAGACATTTCTTCTATTTTATACTTTTCTAATTTGATATAAGTATAGACATTAGGCTCAAGATGAGCCCTGTGACATGGATACAATGTGGAGATTAGGGGCTGGATTCAATCCATAGCGCCGAAGAGCAGAGTTGTAGCGCGGTTGAAATGTAAAGTTACTTTTCAATTGAGTCGACATATGCAGCGTTTATCGTTTACCGTGAATGCAGTCTCCGCGAACACGGAAACAATGCCTATACATTTAAATCATGCTACAACGCTGATCTTCGGAGCAACAGATTGAAACCAGCCCTAGGGGGAGCTTATCTGACAGATCTCCCTGTTGGAATGGAACAGAAACAAACACAAATTATTCTCCACTAATCTCTGTGATTATTCCAGGCAGCCCTATAATCCCTTGTGTATTCAACACACTCACTGTGCAACTTCCCAGAAAACACTGAATCGTTGGGGGGGAAAAATAAATCCCAATGTCTAGATTTGGAAAACATTACACATCCTTTCAATTTTGGTACCAGATATTCAATTGAAATGTCACTATTGAAGTAAATATCTTGCCATTAAGGGAAAACAGTCATAATGTTGACATTTTCAGTCACATGACTACTAGCCTTACATATCTTACAGGTCTGGATATAAGGCAAAATAATAATGGGAGAAAAATAAGTCAATAACAAGTTCAAACAATGTCCTACTCATAAATAAGGTCCAATAGTACTTGTAGGACTTGCAGGAAAAAGTAGAACACTGTTAATAGAACCCAGAAGAAGAACCCACAATAGTAGAACCCACAATTCTGCTCAATCACGCAGATGGACAGAGCTCTGCATTAGAAGGGATTTGCACATTCTAATACACTCCTACTAGGAAAAAACATGGGGTCCGAGAACTGTAGCGTCCAGCCTTGATTGCTCTCTGCTCTGTCCATCTCACTCAAACGTGCCCTGTGCAGCTACAATATCAACTCAATAACAGCTCTCTAACTCAGAGAGACTTTGTGCCTTTGAGGATGCTGAATTAAATTATCCAATTGTGTAGTCTTTATAGCAAATGCATTGGATAAAGCTTGCAGCCTTAAAATGCTGTGATATATGCAGTACGTATCTGGGTCATTCCCAGGTAGAGGCAGCAGCAGTTTTGAATAGAGGTCACCCATGAGTAAGAATTAGGAATAACAGTATCATCACTGTACAGAATTTCTGCAGGATCAAATAGAAACAATCTTTATCATAATAAACAACATGGCAAAAAACTGTAGCATCAGCCCCATGTACAATTCTAAAGACAAATCAAGCATTTAAAGGATATTCCTACTGCAGTTCTGTCTAGTGCAGCAGAAGGCAGCTGTGCACAGGGCTGGTACCCTGAAGACACACAATAGGCATTTTCCTCCCACCTAGCCGGGCTGCCAGGCAGAAGAGGACCACTCACCTCCCTGTTGATCTTGCCTCTTCAGAGCGGATGAAGCGCAGTGAGGCTGTCTTCCGCTAGATATTTATACAGGACCTAGCGGTGATGTTGACACTGTGATTCACGCCCTGTGGCTTTGGACTTTTCCAGAAGTTGTGTAATTCCCAGTCACAGCTCGGAGCTGTGGAGCAGCCAGGAGTGGGCACTGTTGCACCATTTGTCACTAAGCTCCCTCTGGCTACTCTCTGGCTCCTGGGAGACTATGTAAATAGAGGGAAGATTGTGTAAGCTATGTGGGTCAGTGTACAAGGTTTAGGCACATGGAGGAGGGTGCTTTAAAGATGATTGATCCTTATATTATCACACATCCCCATGACTCAGTGCATCAGCGCATCAGTACACACACACACAAGGATCATGCAAAATGAGTCAAATTGAAATTATAATGGTATCAGCCAAACAAATGCAAACATTTACTGTAACACCTTGTAGCTCTAATTCATAACATATCCCTAAACCCCACACTTGGCTCAAACAAACATTCCCAGGCTCCAGCCTCACACAAATGCATGACCAAGCACAGGTACGGGAATGTTGATGATGTGTTCTGAGTGGAAACCTGCTGAATCTAACAGGTTATAAAAGGGTTCTTTAATGAGCCCTGCAAATTTAAACCTCTTCCTTTATGCTCTCATCGTCCTGTTGCCAAGCTGAGCTCTACAGCCAGGCCAGTGGCCAGATGTCTCCAGTTAGGAGTATACTTTATTTTTTCCTGTGACGCAAGATCATTACATAAGCTCATTCAGAAATAAAACGATATAAAAGGAGGAAATGGAAAAACTAGATTCCTGGCTACATCCCACCTAAAACACACAGAGAATAACAAGTTCTGGGCCCTAATGTTGAATGTCTGCTAGGGTGATATTTACTGTATGCACACACTCATACCTTGGCACTGTGTCAGCAGTCTTCAGGGGCTGATTTGTGGTTTCAAATAAGACGAAAGGTGAAAGTTCATTTGTGCAGGACATTACAGCTGGAGCATCCTAGCAACAAGACCTCAATTGGTCTATTTTTATATTAATTCTCACCTATTTGTGCTTTTCTCATGCAAAGACAGATTTTTGATTTTAAATGTGGGGCGGCAGGTAGCTTAGTGGTTAAGAGCGTTATGCCAGTAACCGAAAGGTCGCTGGTTCTAATCCCCTAGCCGACTAGGTGAAAAATCTGTTGATGTGCCCTTGAGCAAGGCACTTAACCCTAATTGCTCTGGATAAGAGCGTCTGCTAAATGACAACAAAAAAAATAATAATTTAATGTGGGTACGAAATTGACACACCAGTTTTAAGGATATAAATGAGATCATATATAAACAAACTTGAATAATGCCCTTGGCATAGGTCCTTATGGCTTGATGTTCAGTTTTGCAAAGAATAGAAAAGGACTCAGCCAAGTTTAGTGTCTACGCTCAAGTCCACAGACATGATTTGTCATCCACTTCCAGACGAGCTCAGGGTTGATTTGTAATGGTGTCTTGCCCTTGTGAGAGATGCTGTTGTGTTAAGGCAGGCAGACACTTCTCCTCTCTCCCCCTCTATGGGCAGACCTCCAGCAGGCCCAGACCAGGGCAGAGCAAGACGTGCCTGGGCCTGCATCCTCTCCTACCTCCTCCTTTTCCATCCCCTTCTCTCCCCCCTCCTCTCATCTTCCATCTTTCATCCTCCGTCCTTCTCCTCCTCTCCTCCCAAGTGTATGTGACCAGTCAAGGTCATTCACAGACTGAGACACAGTCAGAGCCAGACGTGTGACTATCACTTCCCACAGAACACAGGGATCTCTTGAGGCATGCAAGAGACACTCTCTCTCCCACAGTGATAAACTATTGCTGGGAATGACAACAGCTGCTCCCTCTGAGAAATGTTATATTGTATTACTCTCAAAATCATGCTGTTGATTTGTATCACTTTAATTGTTCATGCCTTGTTATACAGCGGCTGGCCACAGCAGTGGGTTTCGAGTGCCTTTAAGCTCGATTTCTAGGCTCCTCTCTGTGGATGTAAGATTGAAACATATTTTAGGACAATGAAAAACGATAGTCATCTATATTTTCTGCTGATTCTCAGAGTCATAATGTATCCTCCTGCAGTATTAATCAAGAAGGTTCCGAGAAATTTTACATAGTGTCCACTGGGTGGCAGTAGTTCTGAGGTAAGAAATACTGAGATGTTTATGTTCTCAGTAGCAACTGCTTTAAACAAAGGACTGGACATTTTGGGTATGTCAAAACGTGGATCTATTATCCTTGCAGTGCGATAAATAGATGCAGTCCAGATACAAAACTTTTGAAATGATCCAAAATGTGTGAAAAATGTAATCTTCAGTGCTTTCAGTAAAGTTTTCATTGTTTCATCATTCTTCTGTTTTATCTTCCAAGTCATTTAAACCATTCTGGGTTATAGCCTAGTCCCTTATGAGTGCATGGGCCAATTGTTTTCACTGTCTCTGAAGTTTGGCATCGAGATCAAAGTGTCTTTGGAGTCATTATAGTCTATCCCAAATCACAACTCCACAGATTTAATTATGTTGGGGTTTCTTAATCTGCTAATGGAAGACTCAACATCCTAACTTGATATTCACTCTCAATCTTTAGATCCACATGCCCTCAGTTTAGCTCAATATTGTGTTACCAGCTACTGCTTTTTTGATGTAGCCTACAATACTACTGCATAAGATTACATGATTGGAGGTCAATGTCCTATTTCCATAGTTTACATGACATAACTTCAGTAATTGCTCTTGAACCTCAAGGGTGATTACATTCTGACCTTTAGACACATTAATAGATCTCTCTACAAACAGCTGAATTACAGCTGCTATTAGAAACATGCAGGCATCAACATTTGTATGGATGTAAACACTGAAAATGTTAAAAATAGTGGCCTCTAAACTCTAGCCAAGATGGCATCTCTGTGCATCAATGACAAATCAAAGTAGTCATGAACTTCCCATTAATCAGTGGCCAGGCAATTTATTTGATAGCAGTTTTATGTTGATATAATCTGTTATGGATTGAAACAAAATGGTCCCTGTTTATAAACTCATGAAACTGGATTGGATTGTAGGTTATTACAAGATGGCCGCCAGTAAAATTGTTGTAAAACTCAATCAAAGATTGTATAGTATGGCTTAAACAAATGTGATGACATGTCTGTAAACAATCCAATGAGGTGCAGAAGTTACTGTGATGTATCAATCGCAGAGTGACATGAGCACGTAGTGTGAGCAAAGGGGAAGATACAGTGGCTTGCAAAATATTCACCCCCCTTGGCATTTTTCCTATTTCGTTGCATTACAACCTGGAATTAAAATGGATTTTTGGGGGGTTTGTATCATTTGAATTACACAACATGCCTACCACTTTGAAGATGCAAAATATGTTTTATTGTGAAACAAACAAGAAATAAGACAAAAAAAAATCAGAAAACTTGAGCGTACATAACTATTCACCCCCCCCCCCCCCCCCCAAAGTCAAAACTTTGTAGAGCCACCTTTTGCAGCAATTACAGCTGCAAGTCTCTTGGGGTATGTCTCTATAAGCTTGGCACATCTAGCCACTGGGATTTTTGCCCATTCTTCAAGGCAAAACTGCTCCAGCTCCTTCAAGTTGGATGGGTTCTGCTGGTGTACAGCAATATTTAAGTCATAACACAGATTCTCAATTGGATTGAGGTCTGGGCTTTGACTAGGCCATTCCAAGACATTGAAATGTCTTGTAACACTCAAGTGTTGCTTTAGCAGTATGCTTAGGGTCATTGTCCTGCTGGAAGGTGAACCTCCATCCCAGTCTCAAATCTCTGGAAGACTGAAACAGGTTTCCCTCAAGAATTTCCCTGTATTTAGCGCCATCCATCATTCCTTCAATTCTGACAAGTTTCCTAGTCCCTGCCGATGAAAAACATCCCACAGCATGATGCTGCCACCATGCTTCACTGTGGGGATGGTGTTCTCGGGGTGATGAGAGGTGTTGGGTTTGCGCCAAACATAGCGTTTTCCTTGATGGCCAAAAAGCTCAATTTTAGTCTCATCTGACCAGAGTACCTTCTTCCATATGTTTGGGGAGTCTCCCACATGCCTTTTGGCAAACACCAAATGTGTTTGCTTATTTTTTTCATTAAGCAATGTCTTTTTTCTGGCCACTCTTCTGTAAAGTCCAGCTCTGTGGAGTGTACGTCTTAAAGTTGTCCTATGGACAGATACTCCAATCTCCGCTGTGGAGCTTTGCCGCCCCTTCTGGGTTATTTTACATTTTAGTCATTTAGCAGACGCTCTTATCCAGAGCGACTTACAGTTAATGAGTGCATACATTTTTCATACTGGCCCCCCGTGGGAAACGAACCCACAACCCTGGCGTTGCAAGCGCCATGCTCTACCAACGGAGCTACAGGGGACCCTGTAGGGTTACCTTTGGTCTCTTTGTTGCCTCTCTGATTAATGCCCTCCTTGCCTGGTCCGTGAGTTTTGTTGTGGTGCCATATTCTTTCCATTTTTGAATAATGGATTTAATGGTGCTCCGTGGGATGTTCAAAGTTTATGATATTTTTTTATAACCCAACCCTGATCTGTACTTCTCCACAACTTTGTCCCTGACCTGTTTGGAGAGCTCCTTGGTCTTCATGGTGCCGCTTGCTTGGTGGTGCCCCTTGCTTAGTGGTGTTGCAGACTCTGGGGCCTTTCAGAACAGGTGTATATATACTGAGATCATGTGACAGATCATGTGACACTTAGATTGCACACAGGTGGACTATATTTAACTAATTATGTGACTTCTGAAGGTAATTGGTTGCACCAGATCTTATTTAGGGGCTTCATAGCAAAGGTGGTGAATACATATGCACGCACCTCTTTTCCGTTATTTATTTTTTCGAATTTTTTGAAACAAGTTATTTTTTTAATTTAACTTCACCAATTTGGACTATTTTGTGTATGTCCATTACATGAAATCCAAATAAAAATCCAATTTGGACAAAAATTCTGGGTGAGGGGGGTAAAGTGAATGTTTTTATTATAGATAAATTATCCGAAAGCCTAAATCTTCCCCCAAAAAATGAAATATAAAAAACAAAATGAAGAAAAAAAAGTGTGCAGTAGAGACTTACATTACAACTGACAGAAGCTGTCTGCATAGGAGCTTACATCATGCATATGGTTAGATCAATAATATTCTGTCCACTCTCCAAGACAAAAGGCCATTTCACAGCAGGTAGAGACAACGTCTTACATTTTGCTCATGGATTGAAGCAAAAACACATGTTTTTCTATGTCGCTCTCACACGCTCTCTCTCTCTGAAATCTCTTTCAACTAAATGTTCTAAAGATGGAGCTTTATCAAATCAAGCTGGAAGTGGAACCCATTTCTTAAGTAACAAATTGCTGTCAGAACCTTTTCCAAATGAAGGATTCTTGGAGTATCTTGTAATGTTTATCCATCCATTGATTTACTGGCTATTAGGATCCCATCCAAGATCATAACATTTTGTGCAGTCGCTGCATATTAGAAAACATCAGTGGAGCAGAATAAGACTAAGACAATCACTAAGATAATGTTGATAATGGATAATAGTGGACCAAAGCAATTAAGAGGTTTCTGTTGGAACGTATATGCATGTCCCTCCATAGAGCAGCTAGATCATTTACTCCTCTCCTGAGGTACAAGGAGAGAAGGAGCCAGGCAAAAGGTTCACTCAGTCAGAGAAAAGTGAGCTAATTTAGGTAGAGTAATAATCTTCAAACTGTTCAGTGATGGGATAACTTCTTCCTGCCCTGTCCAGATCCTCTCTGTACTTCCTGAGTCATCCGTATCTTGGTGACTGTTGATGTGACTAGTGCCCATATGGTTCACAGAGAAGCATCTGCCCTTTCTTCAGTGTGCTAACATTATAGCATCTTGATATCATTGTTGGGAGCAATTGATATCATAGTTGGCATTGCATGACATTGCATTGCATGGCATTGCATGTGGTCCTCTGTAGCTCAGCTGGTAGAGCACGGCGCTTGTAACGCCAAGGTAGTGGGTTCGATCCCCGGGACCACCCATACACAAAAAAATGAATGCACGCATGACTGTAAGTCGCTTTGGATAAAAGCGTCTGCTAAATGGCTTTTTATTATTATTATTATGACCAACACAGCCATGTGGAGGGTGATTAGACAGCCTGGTCTCAGAGTAAACGTATTATATTTGACAAAAAATAGCTCCAACAAATATTCTCCCCATAATTCTCCTCTGTTCTTATAGCGCAACAAGTAACCTGGTCTCAGAGAAAGATGTATAATACTATATGTCCTCCAAGACGGGGAACAGTTAGCTAACATGCATAGTAATTGCTAATTAGCTAAAATGCTAAAAGGCAACTTTAGCAAAATTAGCAACTACTTAGCATGTTAGCTAACCATTCCCTGTCAAGCAACCCAAAGGTTAAGCGTTCGAATCTCATCACAGACAATTTTAGCATTTTAGCTAATTAGTAACTTTGCAACTACTTATTATGTTAGCTAACCCTTCACCTAATGCAAACCCTAACCTTAACCCTTTAACCTAACTCTTAACCCTAACCTAATGTACAGGTTGAGAGCTTCAAGTTCCTTGGTGTCCACATCACCAACAAACTATCATGGTCCAAACACACCAAGACAGTCGTGAAGAGGGCACACAAAGCCAATTCCCCCTCAGGAGACTGAAAAGATTTGGCATGGGTCCTCAGATCCTCAAAAAGTTATACAGCTGCACCATGGAAAGCATCCTGACTGGTTGCATCACCGACTGGTATGGCAATTGCTCGGCCTCCGACCACAAGGCAATACAGAGGGTAGTGCGAACGGCCCAGTACATCACTGGGCCAAGCTTCCTGCCATACAGGACCTCTATACCAGGCGGTGTCAGAGGAAGGCCCTAAAAATGGTCAAAGACTCCAGCCACCCTAGTCATAGACTGTTCTCTCTGCTACCGCACAGCAAGCGGTACCGGAGCGCCAAGTCTAGGTCCAAAAGGCTTCTTAACAGCTTCTACCCCCAAGCCATAAGACTCCTGAACAGCTAATCATGGCTACTCGGACTATTTGCATTGTCCCCCCCCCCCCCACCCCACCCCCTATTTTACGCTGCTGCTACTCTCTGTTTATTATCTGTGCATAGTCACTTTAACTCTACCCACATGTACATATTACCTCAATTACCTCGACTAACCGGTGCCCCCGCACATTGACTCTGTACCAGTACCCCCTGTATATAGCCTCCCTACTGTTATTTTGTTTTACTGCTGCTCATTAGTTATTTGTTATTTTTTACTTATCTATTTTTTACTTAACACTTATTTTGATTAAAACTGCATCGTTGGTTAAGGGCTTGTAAGTAAGCATTTGTATTCGGCGCATGTGGCAAATAACATTTGATTTGATTTGATGTAGCATATCATCCTAAAGCAGTCAAACGTAGCATATCATACAGAAGCAGTCGAAGGTAATATATAATACTAAACAGGTCACATGCGATCAAGACCTAGGATACTATTCGTCCTACAATTCGTATTATATTGTACGACCGCTATTACACTGGTAGGCCAATGTAATGTAACCTAATCTAAAGTAACATATCATACTAAATGGAATTGCACAGATTTGGGTAAAATATAATATGTTTTGCTCTGAGACCAGGTTGAATTAGATGGTATTTTTGTTATAAATATTTATTTAAAATATTATTATGAATTATTATTTTTTTTGGGGGGGGGGTGGTGGGGGGTAGATCAGCTTTAATATTGCAGATAGATTGTAGCTTCCATAAATGTAATTGTCTGCATAATTTCCAATCCCCCATATATGTTTTTGCAAAAAAATATATATTTTGTTACATTACAGCCTTGTTCTAAAATTGATTGAATTCAATCTACACACAATACCACATAATGACAAAGCGAAAACAGGTTTTTAGGAATTTGTACATATTTATAAATGTTTTAAAACAGAATAAACCTATTTACATAAGTATTCAGACCCTTTGCTATTCAGACCGAGACAGGATTGTGTCGAGGCACAGATCTGGGGAAGCAAAAAATATCTGCAGTATTGAAGGTCCCCAAGAACACAGTGGCCTGCATCATTCTTAAATGGAAGAAGTTTGGAACCACCAAGACTCTTCCTAGAGCTGGCCGCCCGGCCAAACTGAGCAATCGGGGGAAAAGGGCCTTGGTCAGTGAGGTGACCAAGAACCCAATGGTCACTCTGACAGAGCTCTAGAGTTCATCTGTGGAGATAGGAGAATCTTCCAGAAGGACAACCATCTCTGCAGCATTCCACCAATCAGGCCTTTATGGTAGAGTGGCCAGACAGAAGCCACTCCTCAGTAAAAGGCACATGACAGCCCGCTTGGAGTTTGCCAAAAGGCACCTAAAGACTCTCAGACCATGAGAAACAAGATTCTCTGGTCTGATGAAACCAAGATTGAACTCTTTGGCCTGAATGCCAAGCGTCACGTCTGGAGGAAACCTGGCACCATCCCTACGGTGAAGCATGGTGGTGGCAGCTTCATCCTGTGGGGATGTTTTTCAGCGGCAGAGACTGGGAGACTAGTCAGGATCGAGGGAAAGATGAACGGAGCAAAGTACAGAGAGATCCTTGATGAAAACCTGCTCCAGAGCGCTCAGGACCTCAGACTGGGGTGAAGGTTCACCTTCCAACAGGACAACAACCCTAAGCACACAGCCAAGATAACGCAGGATTGGCTTCGGGACACGTCTCTGAATGTCCTTGAGTGGCCCAGCCAGTGCCCAGACTTGAACCCGATCGAACATCTCTGGAGAGACCTGAAAATAGCTGTGCAGCGACGCTCCCCATCCAGCCTGACAAAGCTTGAGAGGATCTGCAGAGAAGAATGGGAGAAACTCCCCAAATACAGGTTTGTCAAGCTTGTACCCAAGAAGACTCGAGGCTGTAATCGCTGCCAAAGTTGCTTCAACAAAGTACTGAGTAAAGGGTCTGAATACTTATGTAAATGTTTCTAAAAACCTGATTTTGCTTTGTCATTATGGGGTATTTGTGTGTAGATTGATGAGAAAAACAACAACAATTGAATCAATTTTAGAATAATGCTGTAACGTAACAAAATGTGGAAAAAGTCAAGGGGTCTGAATACTTTCCGAATGCACTACCAGTCAAAAGTGTTAGAACACCTACTCATTCAATGGTTTTTCTACATTGTAGAACAATAGTGAAGACATCAAAACTATGAAAATAACACATATGGAAACATGTAGTCACAAAAAAAGTGTTAAACAAATCAAAACATTTTATATTTGAGATTCTTCAAATAGCCACCCTTTGCCTTGATGACAGCCTTGCACACATATATCTATACTAATATTTTGTTTGTTTTTACTCCTGTCCTTCCACTACCCTCAACCCCTCCCATCTATTTCTGAAGAACATCCAGTTTGATTTCTATTTGCCATATATTTTTTACTGTGCTGTTTCAAAAAAGTTCTGAACCTATATACATTATACGGACACAGTATATTTTACATTAGTGATCTTGTTGTTATTAGTCCCACCCTTCAGCTCCACTCAACCCCTCCCATCTATCTCTTAACACCATCCATATTGGATTTCTATTTGCCATATATTTTTCAACTGTGCTGTGATGTTTCACAAAAGTTCTGAACCTTTCTATTCTCATAGTTTCTACAGATTATAAATTAAAGATAAATATTTTTGCTAAAAGTATTATTATATTATTGATCGATTGACTATGACTTTTAATATCAACCAGTAGTGCTATCAGCAGAGTTAGCTCCAGGTAAATGTTGCAATTCTTCAGCCATTCCTGGACCTGCAACCAAAAACAAGCTACAAATGGACAGTACCAAAACAAATTATCTAATGATTCTGTCTCTTTACAGCAAAATCTGCAGAGCTGGGATGGTTGTATCCCCATATATATAACATTATATTGGTTGCAAGGATTTTGTATAATAATTTAAATTGAAAAGTTTTGAATCCGGCGTTGTTTTGCGTAACAGTTCATAAACCATGTGCCATGGAATCGGTACATCGAAAATCTCTTCCCAACTATTTTGCAATCTATATGCCACAGCTGTCATTTTTTGGGTCCTTAAATTAAACTGGTATACTTTTTTATTCATCACAATTTTCTTAAACCAATTTTGTTGATAATGCAGGGCCGACAGACAAGTTCCTTACTTTTTCCCCCTTCCACTTGCCTCTTCCATTTTTGCAGTAATGCTGCAATTATTGGTTGTAATTTTGGGTAGACCATATATTTTTGTTAGCTGCATGTGTGGCATAACTCCACCAGTCCTATTTATGATCTCATTTACAAAGATTATACATTTTTAAATTGTTTTTCAATAAATTAACAGATTTTTTAAATCAATTAGTATAATTGACTTGAACCACATTTGTTGTATTATTTGTTCTGTCTTTTCTGGTGGATTAAACTGAAATTGCAACCAACTTTCTATGGTTTGTTTTTAAAATAGCGATATTTTGGAGATTATTTCATTTTCAAATAACCGAAAGTGAGAGGTTATAATCTGAATAAATGGGAAAAGGCCATTCTTGAACATGGGGTGAGACATTCTTACTAATCTGCTAGAGAACCAGTTCGGATTTAAGTATAACTTTAGTATGATTGACGCCTTTAGTGAGAGGTCTAATGCTTTAATATTTAATCATTTCTGCCCTCCAAATTCATATTCATTATATAAATAGGCCCGTTTAATTTTGCCTGGCTTGCCGTTCCAAATAGAAAGGTATGGGATGGACCACAGGAATTATTTGCTAGGATAATAATTGCTTGTCAATGAATTAAATGTAATACAATGGCAATCCGGGTTATATGTTAGAATCCTACGCGTGAACTGCCGACATTATTACGCATATTAATTGATAATGATGGAAAATAGGACATGCATAATTTAAAAAAAAATACTTATATAGATATATATAGAGGTGAAAGCATTGGAAATGCATTTGGCTGTTAATCTGCTTCTGTTTTGTGGGTGGCACTGTGTGCTGTTTTCGATGGATGGGTCCTGGCCTCTCGGGGCCTTAGGGATCCGAAGGGACGTGGGTGGGATGCTGATCACTGGGATGACGGCTCAACTTGGGATGGGTAGGGGCTTTAGCGGGGGAATTAGTGGAGAAAAATTGAAGGGTTACTCCGTAGCAATGCAAATATCACGGTACAGCTATATGGACACTCAATCATTACGGTATTTTTTATTGGTAAATTTACAAACATATATAATGATAAATAGACTTGAAACTTGTATCTCATTATGGTGTATGGTGAAATAAGTATAGCAAGTTATAATTGTAATGGCTTAGCTGATAATAACAAAAGAAGAACAATATTTACATGGCTCAAAGAGAAGGAATATAATATCTATTGTATACAGGAAACTCATTCAACAATTCGAGATGAAGTAGTGTGGAGAAAAGAATGGGGGGGGGGGGACAGGGGACAGAATGCGGTCGGACCATCATATAATAGGCATATACATTACTCTTACTGAATTTCCACGTGGGCGAGGATATTGGAAATTTAATCAAAGCCTATTGGATGATAATTTATTTATAATTAGAACAAAGGAATTTATAACTGACTTTTTCCAACATAACATAGGTACAGCTAATCCCCTTATTGTATGGGACACCTTTAAATGTGCCTTTAGAGGCCATGCATTTCAGTACTCATCTCGAAAACAAAAGCAATATAGGTCAAAAGAGTTTATACTAAGAAAGGAAATAGAAAGTCTAACAGAACAGATAGATGGCAATAAAAACTGTAACATAGAGGCTCAGAATAAATTAGAGGAAAAACAAAAAGAAATGGAGAAACTTATTCAAGAAAGATCAAGTGTAATATATTATAAAAATAAAGCAAACTGGATGGAATATGGGGAAAAATGCACAAAATTCTTTTTTAATCTTCAACATAGGAATGCTACCAAAAAGAACTTAATGAAACTGGTTACAATTGACGGAGTCACCCATAATTCACCAAATGATATTTTGAAGGAAGAAATAAAGCACTTTAAGCATATGTTTTCTTTTCAGTCGCCTCCATCTCCTCTAACTGAAGCTAATTGTAGAGATATTTTTTTTATTGATAATGTCAAATTAACAGCCACACAGAAAGACTCATGTGAAGGTGAAATTACAGAGGAGGAACTTCTGGATGCAATTAAAGACTTTAAGTCTGGGAAAACTCCAGGGTTGGATGGCATACCAGTCGAGGTATACCAAACCTTTTTTGATATACTGAGAGGACCGTTATTAGCATGTTTTAACCACTACTATGTAAATGGTAGATTATCTGACACTCAAGAAGAAGGTCTGATCTCATTATTACTGAAACAGGATACAAGTGGAAAATATAAAGATCCAGTCCATTTACAAAATTGGAGGCCCCTTACACTTCAGTGTTGTGATGCAAAAATTCTAGCAAAATGTATAGCGCATAGAATTAAAAAGGTATTGTTGGATATTATTCATTCTAATCAGACAGGTTTTTTACATGGAAGATACATTGGAGATAATATAAGGCAAGTATTGGAAACAATAGAACACTATGGAAAATATGGGAAACCAGGCCTGCTATTCATAGCAGACTTCGAAAAGGCATTTGATAAAGTTCGACTGGGGTTTATATATAAATGCCTGGAGCATTTCAATTTTGGAGAATCTCTTATAAAATGGGTCAAAATCATGTATAGTAACCCTAGGTGTAAAATAGTAAATAATGGCTATTTCTCAGAAAGTTTTAAACTGTCAAGAGGAGTGAAACAAGGTTGTCCACTATCGGCATATCTATTTATTGTGGCCAACGAGATGTTAGCTATTAAAATCAGATCCAATAATAATATCAGAGGATTAGAAATCCAGGGCTTAAAAACAAAGGTGTCATTGTACGGTGATGATTCATGTTTTCTTTTAAATCCACAACTAGAATCCCTCCACAGCCTCATAGAGGATCTAGATACATTTTCTAACCTCTCTGGATTACAACCAAAGTATGACAAATGTACTATATTACGTATTGGATCACAAAAAAATACAATCTTTACATTACCATGTAGTTTACCAATAAAATGGTCTGATGGTGATGTGGATATGCTCGGAATACATATCCCAAAGGAAATAAAAGATCTCACTTCAATACATTTTAATAGAAAGTTAGCAAAAATAGATAAGATCTTACTACCATGGAAAGGAAAATACCTGTCAATTTGTGGCAAAATCACCCTGATTAACTCTTTAGTATTATCCCAGTTTACCTATTTGCTTATGGTCTTGCCTACGCCTAGCGAACAGTTTTTTAAATTATATGAGAAAAAAAAATTCAATTTTATTTGGAACGGCAAGCCAGACAAAATTAAAAGGGCATATTTATATAATGAATATGAATTCAGAGGACAGAAATTATTAAATATTAAAGCATTAGACCTATCACTAAAAGCTTCAGTCATACAAAAGTTATACTTAAATCCGAACTGGTTCTCAAGCAAATTAGTAAGATTGTCTCACCCAATGTTCAAGAAAGGCCTTTTTCCCTTTATTCAGATTACAACAACTCATTTGCAGTTATTTGAAAAGGAAATCATCTCCCAATATCACTATTTCTAAAACAAGCCATAGAAAGTTGTTGCAATTTCAATTTAATCCTCCAGAAACGACAGAACAAATAATGCAACAAATATTGTGGTTAAATTCAAATATACTAATTGACAAAAAACCTGTATTTTTTGACAGAATGTTTAAAAAAGGTATAATCTTCGTAAATGATATTATCGGTAGGACTGGTGGAGTTATGTTGCACATGCAGCTAACAAAAACATATGGAAATGTCTGCTCTACCCAAAATTACAACCAAATAATTGCAGCCTTACCGCAAAAGTGGAAGAGGAAAGTGGAAGGGGAGAAAGTAAGGAACTTGTCTGTCGGCCTTGCATTAAAGAACATAATTGGTTAAGGAAAACTGTGATAAATAAAAAAGTATATCAGTTTCACTTAAGGACCAAAGGATTGACAGCCGTCCCATATAGATTGCAAAATAGATGGCATAGTGTTTATGAACTGACACGCAAAACGACACCGTTTTGGTTCTGTCCATTTGTAGCTTGTTTTTGGACACAGGTCCAGGAATGGCTAAAGAATTGCAATATTTACCTGGAGCTAACCTTGCAGATAATATTACTGGATGATCTGAAAAGTCATAGTCAACCGATCAATAATATAATAATACTTTTAGCAAAAATGTTTATTTTTAATTCACAATCTGTAGAAGCAATGAGAATAGAAAGGTTCAGAACTTTTGTAAAACATCACAGTACGGTTGAAATATATATGGCAAATAGAAATCCTATATGGATGGTGTTAAGAGATAGATGGGAGGTATTGAATAGAGTTGAAGGATGGGACTAATAACAAATAACAACAAATAATAACAAAGATAGCTAATAATGTAAGCATACTGTGTCCATAATAAGTATATAGGTTGTATGTTGGGAGCTTTTGGGAAAGAGCACAGTTAGAAAGATATGGCATATAGAAGCAAACCGGATGGACATCATGAAAATGATCGGAGAGGTTGAGAGTAAAAGAAGTTTAGGAGCAAAAAAAATTATATATATATATATATATATATATATATATATATATATATATATATATATATATATAATATAATTATTGTAAAATTAACTGTGTCCATAAGGTGTAGATAGTAAGTATAGACCGGAAGTAGAGGCCTGGGCATTGTTGTTCACTAATTTACTCCAAGTAGGGAAAGGATGGCGGGGTTGAAAAGTAATAAAGGGGAGTATATATATAAAAAACATGGGGGATTGGAAGTGATGCAGACAATTACATTGATGGACTGGATCTTTGTCTTTTCCACTTGTATCCTGTTTCAGTAATAATGAAATCAGACCTTCTTGTTGAGTATCTGATAATCTACCATTTTGATAGGAGTGGTTAAAACATGCTAATAACGGTCCTCTGAGTATATCAAAAAAGGTTTGGTATACCTCCACTGGTATGTCATCTAGCCCTGGAGTTTACCCGGACTTAAAGGCTTTAATTGCATCAAGAAGTTCCTCCTCTGTAATTTGGCCTTCACATTAGTCTTTCTGTACAGATGTTAATTTTTGTTATTAATTAGGAAACTACATGTGGGCATAATCTGCGACCCTCTAGCAATCCAAAGGTTGCGTGTTCAATTCGCATCGGGGACAATTGTAGCATTTCAGCTAACCCGTCCCCTAACCCATATTCTACATTTAACCCAATTCACCTAACCTGCTATGTAAATTCACCTAACCTTTGTAATTTTAGTTCTCCTTTTACGTAAATTATCCTAACCTTTTTCGTTAGTTCCCCTAAGCGCCAACATAAATTCTTCCCGTAATTCTCCTTTGTTGTTACAGTGCAACAAGCAACCTGGTCTCAGAGAAAGATGTATAATATCATACATCCTCCAAGATGTATGATAAGGTATGTCATCCAATTCATATGCTATTGTATTGTATGACCGGGTAAGATGTATGATAATATGCGTCCTATAATATGATATTGTACATCCAATATTCCATTCATAATGTAACCTAACGTAACATAGTATATCATACTAAATGGAGTGTCACAGATTTAAATACAGAATAATCCGAATTGCCCTGAGACCACATTGCAAATTGATTGTGATAAATTGTATTATAAGTAAATTAAGCTGATGTTTGTCTTCTAAAGTGGTCTATAACCATCCACTTACATGTTTTCTGAAATGACTTGAGGTATGCCTCTTGAATTAGCCCTGACATGTCAGACATGGAGGAAAGTTTTCATTTTAAACAGCGGAGGGAGGCCATAGATAGTAAAGGTGCCCATTCGATCCATGTTCAAACATTTGTTAGCAATTAGCCCGAGCCGCAGACCGGACATTCTACAACATATGCACCCTCCATCCCTCCCTCTTCTAGCGGGCAGGAAATACGAACCAGAACAGATCGAGGCAGCTACCCATCAGTCTATCTCACTCTCATCTATATCCTCTCTCTCTCATCTCTCTCTCTCTCTCTCTCTCTTCTCTCTCTCTCTCTCTCTCTCTCTCTCTCTCTCTCTCTCTCTCTCTCTCTCGCCCAGTCATGTTTCCCCAAGCTGCACATGGTTACTGTCCAGTGTATTAGTTTCTTCTGGCTCTGAGGGAGAGAGGAGCAGCAGCCTTTTGCAGACTAACTGTAGCATGTAGCTGGGAATTTGTTCTTCACACACTAATAGACCTAGACTGTTTTGTGTATTTGAGCTGCAGTTCAAGAGAGAGAGCCCATGGGCTGCCTGAAGAATTCCTACTGTAGTTGTTTAGAGAAAGTCTGGCTGGATATAAAGCAGTCGTAAATTAACAAGTAAGTCCTGTCTCCTGCTCAGTGCTCTGGACACCCTGAACCATTTACAAGAGGGACCTGTTGCCTATGGATGAGTGTATACATTGTAAATTAGACACTGTTTTTCTGTTACTTCTGCTGTAGGAGATTGTACTGCAGAGAAGAGGACTGGGACAGTCAGAGGCTTTTGTCCGGACAACAAGTTCTTCACATCGTCACCAGAGCTGCCTTGTAAAATCACCATGAAAGGTTAGATGACTGTTGATGAATCTCTGTTGATACTGTATTCAACTTCAGACTACTGCTTACTGTGGAGGAATATAATATATTCTGTAGGAGACGTGAAAGTGCACCGGTGGCACACAAATGTGCAGACAGCTTGCTTTTAAGACCAGTACCTCACAGGATCCAGAGAAAACGTTGGTTTGTTGATCTTGGATGTGGGACATCCACTCCTTTGCTTTGAAAGCTCCATATTTCAAAAGCTTGCTGTTTTCAGAAGCCACACATTTGCTTTTGGGTTTCCTTTAAGGATCTTATATGAGCCCTATTGAAAGGATAACATTTGAAGACTAACTTTTGTCAACGCTGCATGATATAAGACTCTTCAGAGACTCTGAAGAGGCTGAGAAATCTGAGGAGTCCTCTTGGAGGAGGAATTAAGCAGTGACATGTGGCTTTAGCTTTGGAAGGTGTTATAAAGTGTTGAGGTATTTACAGGGAAACACACAGGTAGGAGGTCTCCTCATCTCTTGTTTGGAGCGTGCTCCATTGAAGCCGAGCTACTAAACATGCAGTCTAACACATTCCTAATGTGAAACAGGAAAGAGGCACCTCGGTATGGGAAGCAGCAGGTGTGTGGTTGGTACATAGAGTACAGTACAGTAGAGATACCTCTGACTGGAGACACAGACTGCCTTACAAGAACTTGAATAACACTGTTCAACACAGCTCTCTTCTTTGGAAAGACAAATGCATTCCTTAGACATACATTCAATCATAAATCTTTGGCACATGACAGTTATCAGATGGTGATTTAAAAATGAAAGGTTCTGATTATACAAAACTACTGAGATTGCAAGAGAGAAGATTGTGAGATTACAGAACAAGACCCTTGCTAGTATTACCAGACATGCCTGGCTATTTCTATCACGAGATGTCCAAAGCGTTTTCCTGGAGAAAACGAGGGCATGTTCAGGGTATCATTTGATTTAAAGTCTGAACCCTCTCACTCCACCACAGAGGAACCACAATAAAGGGCTGCTTGAGATCATTTGGAGCAAGACCATTTGGATCAACACATTCCAGGCATTTCATTGCTTTGAAAGCAAACACACGTTCCCTTTTAAGTGCATCTAAAACAGTTGGATGTCAACAGGGGCTTGGGGAGACACTTGTCTATATCGGTTGCGGTTGGGGCCCTTTGGTTTTGGAGAAATCTTGTGTCTCTGTTTTCAAATTGGGGATTTAGGTATCCATGTTAAAAGCTTTAAGTCACCACCAATCAGGCAGGCATTTCAACCAGTACAGTATAGTTGGTTGTCAGTCTTAGTATTTGTTTGTTTGGAGAATGGATTGCCAGTTGCTTCTGTTAAAAGACAAGAAAACATAACCTTTTGACCCAAAGCTTATACTATAGTTCAATAGTCAAACAAAACTGGATTTTCTCTGCTCCACATTTGAATGTGTGTGAAATCCAAGCAGTGGTTTACATATTCAGCAGCTTTTCTAGGTTGATAGGAGAGATTAAGTGTAGCATTTGAACATCCACTGCCAAATCAAGAAGGAACACAGTAGGGTAACCACAAGCATTGACAAATCATGAGGTTTGTGGACTTGCAGGGAGTTGACTGGTGTCATGTTCTTGCTCTGTGTGGCCCAAAGTTCACAATAACATTGAGGGTGGGAGGACTTGCCATGTGAGACCACTAACATTCTCTTTGTTCACTGTGTGTTGTACATGCATATTGGCAATTATTTGATACGTGAAACAAATGCAATGGGAATAGAAACACTGGGTTGTTGATGGAGGTGTTAGATGAGAGTAGTCTCCTACAGTAGTCTCCTAAGGGAAGGCTTCATGTCCATGGCATTACACAGCAATACCATCATTAGAAATGGGTCAGCTTACTAGGTGGCTGTCCTATTGTGGAAACAGAACAGAACCTTTTTTACTGAATTCAGTTCCTCTCCCTAGGGTGTCATCATTTGGCCATCATTGGCAGTCAACATTGTCCTTGCCCTATCAGCAGTTCTGTATGGACCTCTCTTCCAGCCCCATGAGGGCCCTTTCTTATGTAATAGGTTACAGAGTTAAATAATTAGACTATTTAGCCTAATGTGTGACAGCTAGATTATTAGCCAGCTTGTCAAACTTACCCTCATACCTAAGTAGGTATTCATATGGATGTGGTTACAAATAATCAACTATGTTTAGAGTAGCATCAAAGAGTACTATGTAACGCAATCGCTACCTCTAATGTTCTTGCTGAGATGTTTTAATTGAGCTCAAGGTGTGTTTTCATATGTGGCTGCGTTCTGTAAGACATCTGGCCAAGAAACAAATTAACTGTATTGCTTTCGGAGAGTCAAAGCTCTTCTTTCTTGCCCTAGAACTGAGACATTATCAATGTTTTCCATCTTTAATCCTCTCCATACAGTACCATCACTGTATCAATCTTTTCTCACCACTTACACTTTTGTCAACTGTTGAAATGCAATCGTCTCCATAGCTTTAGCTGAGGCATGACTGAAGTATTTGGATGAATATCCCTAACAAAGATTATTTTCATTACTTTCAGGTAATGAAAGGTTTTAACACATTATGACAGTTCAAGGACTATAGCATTGGACCTGAGAGGTATTTTTGGCAACTACTATAGTGGACAGAGGGCTACATAGTCGCTGCTTTATACACTGTTAAAACAGAGAACATATAATCAAATTCACATTCCAAATGATCTATTATAAAAACTAATGATAGGTAGGGGTGATTCTATTTTCAGTGGCGTAACCTTGATGTTTTTACCAGGCACATTCACGTTCATGTTTTTACCAGTCACATTAGGCTCGAAGCTTAGCAATGCAAGAATTACACACCCTCTAATTAAGGAAATCTGCTGGCCATACAGTACCTACTGGACATATAGAAATGTCCCTCCCCTGCTGGCATATACATTATTGGATTACAAAGTTATCTAAATAGTTATAGATTTTTGGAGTGGACATTCCATTCATGAAGCGTTTGATGAATTAGAAATGTTAGTTTTGTCCATTAGAATTTGCAGAAGATTTTTTTCTGCCATTTCCTTCAAATGCACCTGTGTGTAAGGGTTGGTGTGAGGTGTGACCCAGGTGCGGTGCAGGATATACAGTAGGCAGTAGGCAGAGATGGTGAAACAAGGATCTTTACTGGGGGTCCCGAATCCAGAATACAAAATAACGGACTTATCACAATAAAAGAAAGGCGGAGCAAATAAGTCTCCAAAAACCAGCTGACAGACAAAATACGAAATACTACCTACGACTGAAACAAACAACGAAACAGGGAGAACACTTCTCAAGTACCTGTACATAGGTCTTTGATCAGACACTGAGTAGTACTGCTGGACATAGAGAAACTAGCAGAGAAAACTGAGCAAGGGAACACAGGGAAGTGAGGGCATAAATACACAGGTGAACAGGTAGACACAGGTGACACCAATAGGATACTGATTAGTCCAGACTGTGAGTGAGGAGGTGCCTAAGGTTGTCGGAGGATGACACCTAGTAACTCCCTCCTGTAACACCTGTGCTCATATTTGCAATGGAACACTGGTTCTACTACAAACACCCACTACATTTAAATCTCTTCCATTCTAAAGACCACTGACCAATAGAGCCCTCGCCGGGAGAGCAGTGGAGGGCAAGTCCGGGTTTAGCTTACAGCCACCGGTATGGCTGACTGGATAATGTAAAGTCTAAGAGCTGCAGCAGGCAGCTGGGCCCATTCCAGACCCCTTCCTCTCTCTCTTTCTCTCTCGCTCTCTCTCTCTCTCTTCCACTGGTCCGCACATCTCAGCATTTCAGTCAGAGCCTTGGCCTTCAACAGGCTGACTTCAGCTGCTCCAGCAGCCAGCAGCCAGCACACATAAACACCCTCACCTTAGAGTTCACTGTATTCCTCTCCCTGTGCACACAAAGCACTGCACATCCCAGCAGAGGGGAATACACCAGGGCTGCCTGAATTTAAGTTATATAACTTAAGGGGAAAAGACAGTGATGGAAAAGACTCAACAGAGACTCAACTGAGTGATGCTGTACCTTAGTAAGAGAGTTGTTGACATAACTCAAATGAGATTCTGAAGGATTACCTCACAAGAAAATACAGAGGTTTGTAGCCTAAAACTGCATATGCCATTAATCAATTGAAAGGCCTGTGTACATATCTATTGCATCAAAGTGGTACAGTAAAGTAAGCATTTCACGGTAAGGTCTACACCTGTTGTATTCGGCACGTGACAAATAAAGTTTGATTTGATTTGATTAAATCACATACATTTTAAGTTATAGCTCTATTAGGTAAGCATTGCTAGTTCATTTGTGGCCAGCAATAAGCCATTTAAACCCAAATTGAATCCAAATTCAGGTTTTGGCTTGAAGCTGCTTCTCTTTAGTATCAGTGTGCCGTGTCCCCCTGGCCCCTCTACCACACTGAGCTGGAACCAGGGGGGTGACGCCACTGCAACCAGCCCAGCTAGCTTCACACACAATCAGCCTTACTGTAGTGTTTCATATTGTGCTGCAATGGGGCCCTTTATCTGACAGCACATACATTTTCATTCTAGCCCACCATACTTAGAGAAGTGAATGATATATTGATGAGAGACACAGATTAAACACTAGGAAAACGATCCCGTTTCCAATTCGCGTAATTGTGTTTCTATAAGTTGTCAGCCAAGTATGACCTCACATTCATATTGAGAGCTCCAAGTTGAATGTTTTATGTCTTGGATGGTAGAAGTGGCTGAGGGGGCTTATTGCATTTCACCTCGTATTTTGTGATTTATGACCACTTTAATAAAATGTGTGAGTTGTTCCCTTAAGATACCTTAAAGTTTCATACTATTGACCTTCATCTGTGAACACGCATTTCAAGTCTCTCCATCTGTTTTTCAGAAATCTATTGCGGATACGAGAACCAGCTCTTTAAAGGTGAGGACAAACATGCGTGTTCGTTTTCTAAACTATCCTCTGGTTCTTGGCCAGAATGGTGTGACAAATCTGTTTGTTGCTATCCTGGCTTTGGCAAATATAGTAGGCCTACTATTGCATGCTTGCATGGTGGGAGTAGTCAGATTAAGGATAGTGTTAAGGTGCCTAATGGGAAGCTGAGTTTAAGTAAAAAGTGAATGAATGCTGACATAAGCTGAGCTTGTGTGTGTTATCAGATGTTTCCAAAACAGTGATTCATTTTTCTTCTTTGCCTTTCAGAGGAGGATCTTACTGGGGAGGAGGAAGAGATGCCTTCCTTTAGAGGTGAGAAACATGGTTCCAAATCTACAATCCACAGGCTTTCTTTCTTGCTGTCCACTTTTGTTTATGTGGCTTGTTATGTGGATAGAGATGCAGGTTCTATGAAGTGTACTTTGTTTTGATATGTCGGTCATGAATCTCTCAGACAAAGTCCCCAACAATACAATAACACTATGAACAATAACGTCAGAATATCCATCAAGGGCGTATTGTGTACACATTGGGCTTTGTTTGTACAGTGTTTGTGTGTGTGCGGGCCTGCCTGTGTCTGCATACATCTGTGATCACTGTTTTGTTTGTGTGCGTGCATTGTACATCTGTTTCAGATATCCCTCCTTAATCCTTCTCTTTCCCCAGTCTGACCACCTACTCACTCCACACTGACTCTGCTGACCAAAGCCAGCCACTAGTCCAGTAGTTAGTCATGCACAGTCCACACAGTGTCAGGGTTAAGACAGGTATTTCCCCTCTTCTCTGCTCTCTAACCACCTGATGTTATGGTAGAGAGACTAAAGCCCCATGCTTCTGATTGCAGGAAGAACCAGAGGTGGCTGTGTGAAATGCCAGCAGACACGTTCTCTGCAGCTGGCTGTTAAAGTGCTGTACGGTTTCTTTGCCTTCCTCATCATAGCAGTGGCAGTGCTGGCATCACTAGGTGAGTAACTATGATATTACACCAACTCTGGCAGCAGGCAGCCTAGCGGTTAGAGCGTTGAGCCAGTAACTGAAAGGTCACTAGTTCGATCCCCGAGCCGACAAGGTAGAAAATCTGTAGATGTGCTCTTGAGCAAGGCACTTAACCATAATTGCTCCAGGGTTGCCGTTGATAATGGCTGACCCTGGCCGTGACCCCACTCTCCGCTGGTGTCTCAGGGGGAGTTTGGATATGCAAAAAAACTAATTTCCATTTCTCACATGCATATAATACACACTTGTACATGAAACAGGACAACTAAAAGCACCCACCAAATTATTATCCAAGTACAGAGTTTATGCCATGTACTCTTGCTTATTCTCCATGCCACATCCTTGCCAGGGACGTTTATATAATGTGAACAGTTATTGTTTTCCATGTGGTGTTTTTTATAGGATTATGATTGCAAGGCCACCAGGATATGGGAAAATGTGTATTCATGTTTTCAATCTGTGGATTAATATGACCGTAACAGAAGGAGTTGAATTGAATCACACTGAGAGAACTTGGAAAAGCCTTGCTGATTCCCCTTTGGGCTGTTAGGCCCACTTTTACACCACCACTTTGGTTGGGTTTGATTATATATAATAACTAAGCTAATAAAGCCGTATTAAATCCAGATTGTTGTATGAGTAGATTGCAGGCCAGGACATGGTGTTTCTGCAGGTATCATGTGTGCACAGACTTCAAGCTTCACATCATCTTGCATTCCTCCCCAATCAGGACCTGTTCTCTTTTGTCATGCTTGACTTAACAATGTGCTCCACAATGTACAATAACAGCTGAGAGGGAGATCTGGTTCAAGCCTACAGGGTTTCTGTTGTAAAAAATAAGGGCCATTTAATTTCCAACAAGGATTGAGTGAACATACGACTTCAAACCGATTTGCTATGTTTTACCTGACTGACAACTTTTTCAGTGCTTACAGATGTTACTTGCATTTAGGCAAAAATATTATTGTGATTCAAAAAGATCAATCTCTTTTTCACAGCAGCCCAGAGTTCCCTGAGGGCCATTGTATAATTCCAAGAGCACTGATACAGAGGGTTGGGATTCCAACACTGCAGTGGCACTGCATTTTATTGGCTGGAGCGGGGTATGCTTGAGTTTATGTCAACGCAGAGCACAGCAATACTGAGGCAAAACAAGAACAAAGCACTGTAAACGTTATATCGTGAAATGTCTGAAATGTTGTTTGGCTAAAACTAACCAAACATCGAGTGAGAACTAAAACATGAACCCATACTGTAAATGTAGAAATTTCAATATCACGCAGCACATCTGTTTTACATTGTTCAGAGTCCCCAAGAATTGGTGTTATTTAACGAGCATTCAGAGAACCAACCTCTGTCTAACTAGCGGACATGATTATAACAATATCAGAAGTTAAAGTCCACCAGTACACCATGATAATGTAAATTAATGTTGAGAGGCTGTGTAGAATCAACATCCATGAGGCCAAATGCAGCATAACTGGTGGTATGTGGAGGACATTGTTAGTGAGTGCAAACATACCATGGTGAACCTGTTATTAATTCCCAGAGTCAAGGATTAGGAAATGATATGCAACAAGGAGTCCTTAAAATAGGAAATTATATGCAACAAGGAGTCCTTAAAAGTGTGCTTTTATTATTCTGGGAAACATATAATCAACTGGGAAGTAACCAGCTGTACAAACCATTACTATTATTTGTGCAGTACTTTGTAATGGAAATAAACTGTATTGTTGTTATCGTACAAGACGGTTCATGGCGGCATCTTAATTCCATTCACTGATGTGTTGTTGTCACTCTATAACTTCATTTGTGTCCTAGTTTCTCAACACATGTATTATGTCTGTTTCAATGCCTATAGAGGAACCTCCATTCTCGTTATTCTGAAAGTCTAATATACATCATTATCTTTGTCTCATCAGTATTTAGGAAGGTCGACAACTTATCAGAAAATGAATCATTTTATCATAAGAAGATTACCAAGGTCCGGGAAAGTATACAAGGTGAGAGAGTATGATTAATCACATGTCAAAATGTGCTGTGCAAGCAGAGCCTCCCAATGTGGCTGCTGACAGAGAAGTCAAGGAGTAAACAATTACTAGTAGAGCATACTGGACATTTCTGCAGATTTCCAAAATGTATTTTGTCGAAAGAGTTGCCTCTGTTTAAAATAGGTCACCCATTGAGTGTAAATTTATGGGTGATTGAGTATGAAGTCTGGGCCTGTGAGGATCCGCTCTTCAAGCTTCATGGCCTGCCTCCTGTGGGGTGTCAACTCCCTGAAGAGGCATAATTTGCAGTCTACGACAACTGCCTCCATTGGCCCATTTATGGAAGCACTGCAGCTGTCAGTCGACTAGAATATACAAATAGGGAACTCTGATCTTGGTTAAATAATACATAAACAGATCATCATACTGTTGTTGTCTTTTCTTTCCCAGATCTGAGCACTGCCAGCAACTGCTCGGACTGCTTCAACGTGGCCCACGTCAGCGAGGAGATCAGTAGGCTGAAGGGGGAGTTTGAGGACCTCCAGAAGATGATCCTGGGTCAGGAGCAGGTCCTGGACCAGGCCTCCCAGACCCAGCAGACCCTGAAGGCAGCCAGCAGCAGGATGACCCGAGACATGCAGAACTACTCCCTGTCCATCAGGCTCATCAACCAATCACTGGTGCGTTACGTAGACCAGGTGGATGGATGGAAGGCGGTCATCACCGAGACGGACGAGAGCATGAAGACTCTATCTCAGGATCAGTATGACCTCAAGGCCACGGTGAATCAGGTCAACAACACGGTGGCCCTCAGCTCCTTGTGGATGGACGCCCTGCAGAGGAAGACCGACGAGGAGACGCTGGTCCTGCAGAAGATGACCGCTGACTGGCAGAACTACAGCCGGGTATTGAGCGGTCTGAAGTCTAACTCCAGCACCACTACTCAGACGGTGAGGAGCATCCAGAGCGGCATCTCGGCCACGCACCAGAGGATCAGCATGAGCTCGGAGATGGTGCACGACCTCACCCTGCAGGTGATGAACCTGCAGATGCAGCTGGACAACGTCACCTCCTTCATGGACGAGCACGAGGAGAACATGCACGACCTCCACTACCACTCCAAGTACTACGAGAACCGGACGGGCGAGAGGTTCATCACCATGGACGCCCGCATGAACTCCATCGAGATGGAGATTGACACCATCTCATCCAGCATCAATGCCACAGTGAGCCACGTGCAGAGCATGTACAAGTACATCAACATCGAGAGCACGTCGTGCCAGACGCGGCTTGGTAGCCACACGGAGGACCTGCAGAACCTGAACACAACGGTGCTACTGCTGATGCACCTGGCTGACACCCTGAGGCAGCAGTACATGTTGCAGAGCGTCCGTCTAGATGTGGATGTCAGGAACCTGTCCATGGTCATGGAGGAGATGAAGCTAGTGGACACTCACCACACCCAAGTCATCCAGAACTTCACCATTCTGAAAGGTACAGCAGAGATGTTCTTGATGTTTTCGCCAAAGGCACTTTTGTTACGAGATCTTCATTTAGCTGTGTTGGTATTGGCTGGTTTCAGTAGTGCTCACTTGACTCTTCTCTTTCCCAAATGGACTTCTATTATTGTTTATACTTGCTAATATTGCTGCTATCCCCTGTGCTCACTCACACTACTCTTCTCCTCACAGGTGCACCTGGCCAACCAGGTCCAAAGGGCAACAGAGGGGAAGGAGGGGCCAAAGGTCCAGTTGGCCTGACAGGAAACAAAGGAGACAAAGGCCCAGCAGGGACCCGTGGCCCTCTGGGAGAGAAGGGCTTCGTCGGGCCAAAGGGAGCTCAGGGGGAGCCAGGACCAATAGGAGCCAAAGGCGGAGTGGGTGTCAAAGGGGTGAATGGTTCTGTGGGCCAGCCTGGCCCCCGTGGAGAAAGAGGAGAGAAGGGAGATATAGGTACTATTGGTAAGGATGGACTGCCAGGCCCCAAAGGGCCAATGGGAATACAGGGCCAAGCAGGGCTCCCAGGGGTACACGGGCTACCTGGTCCCAGAGGAAAGCCTGGGCCTGTTGGTCCACACGGGCCTCCCGGAACCCCTGGCCCACCAGGCCTACCAGCTTACCCAGCCACAGTGTCTTGAGGGGCCCATAGGGTCTGATTACAACAAGGACAGGATTAGATGAGGTGATGTACTGGCAGCCTGACAAAGGGGTGGAGTGTAATTGAAGAGGATGGAATTGATGGATGGGGCATGGAAAATATCATTCTCAATCTTTCCCCTGTTTTCATTGGACACTCAATGGACAACCCATGCTTTTTGAGCATATACTGTACAGTACACATAGCCCTAAATGCATGTTCAGGTATGAAGGGGTGTAGAGGAGACTGCAAAATTGAAGATAACATAAAGACTGCAAAAGTATGAGTTAAAAAATATGCATTGTAAGTTTTCAGTATCATATACAGCTGAATGTATGTTTGAAGGAACCACAAAACCCTCATGGGGGCTTCATAAAGATATAGGTTTACATTGCCATGCAGTTTCATGAGGGTACACATAAATAACAATTATTTTGTATACACATTTGTGAAACATTGACACGTGAAATACTGTTTGATGGCACTTTACTGGTTTTATAAAGTGTAGAAACTACAGTCTGTTCTTATGTGTTTTCTTTTGCATCTTTTATGTTTCAGAGCAGGTTCTCTGAATACTGACTGAAGTTGAGATGATTAAACAGGTCATAGAGTGTAATGGTAAGGGAGTAATGAAATTGCTGAAGAACCAAAGGTATCTGCTTGGGTATGCAACTATGGATGTATTGTGTTTTAGTCAGCAATTGAACATTTCCTGAATTACTTAAAATGTATGGTTTTGAAATGAATATCTTTTTACAAGACGTATTTGGGGTTCTATGCCAATATTTTGCTATGTTACATTCAGAATGTTTTCAGATTTTAAAGTGTAGATAATATACATCATGTTTGTTGTGTGTTCTTTTTTTCCATTGTGACTATTCATATTAATCTCTGCACATAATCAGAGTTGTGTGATGATATGTGTATTTTAACAGCAAATTAACATGTTAAAAAAAGGTGAAATGATAAGAGACAGATGCTACCCACTGGGCACACACTGGTTGAATCGATGTTGTTTCCACGTCATTTCAGTGAAATTACGTTGAACCTACGTGGAATAGACATTGAATTGACGTCTGTGCCCAGTGGGTATTTTTGTAAAACTGTGTCATTCTTATAAACATTTGACTGGCTTGCGTAGATGTTCAATAAATGCTACCATTCTACTTCACCAAAGTGTATCTACATCATGCACTCACAAGTTCTGCTTTTCTTCAACATATTTGAACCTATTTTGAACTCCCATTTGTGTCTGGTAGAATGCTTGGATGTAGCTGCGGGAGAGTCAATCAGAGTTCTACTCAGTCCAAAACCCTGAACGGAAAAAAGGAGTGTTTTTGCTGAATAATTAAGAACATGCAGTTTTCTCCCTCCCATAAAATATCTTAGGATTTAGTGACTCAAACAATCTTTAATTTCCTGTGTTACTCAATTGTTTTTTAATACAACTCATGCCTTAGATGTTTGAGCTATATTCCACATAGAATATTAGCTGTGGATATTATGGCTTCAAATTACGTGCTGATATCATGCATTCTTCATTCTGTCTGCTCTGAAACATGCAAGGTCTCGTGAGATCTGAGGGACACAAACTCTAACAAAAACGTAGACTAAAATCCACTAAAATCCCATATTTTTTTGGTCATATGGATTTGCAATGTGTGGAGGGATTCGACCACTTTAGACTTTCACCTAAGCAATATTACAGAGGAAAACAGATTGTAAAATGAAATAGCTTTAAGCCTGAAGATACACTATAAAATTCCTCTTCAAAAGAAGAAAAAGACTGCAGCGTTGAAATTTGAGAAGGTGTGTCTGATTTCAATGGCTGGCTGTGTAAAGATACTCTGTTAAAATGACCTGAGCTTCTCCTTCACATGTGGTGTGCAAGCCGCCGCAAGATATCTGACCTCCAGCAGCTTTTCAAAAAACCATTACCACATGTGCAACCATAAATCACTCACAGTTCGTGTGTATGGAGATATTTTGGCTTGATGCATCATTACAAATGGCACATTTCGGCAGAAACAGTATTATTGACAGTCAATGTGGAGCCAGCGTTATCGTTGTAGTTTTACAATAGCAAAAAATGACATTTTCCATTGTTAGTGTTGCAATAACTAACCGCTACTGTAAATTAAACACATTGCGCATTGAGCAAACATACACTCAAACATTTAATGACACTTGTTTATTAGATGGTTACTCTGAGTGTAGTGTATACTCCAATGACATATACTGTAGATCCATTTTAATGTGAAGCACAGTAAATTATGAAGTCTGCGGAGAATACCTGCTCCATATTATATCTATTGTATTGGCGCCAGGCGTATTGTTGGGGTCACAGATGCTGTCTGTTGCTGATGCACTCATATTTCATAGGCCCATCTGTAGCAAAGACACATCTATACCACTGAACCCCAGATGCACTCTGTTCTTCAAGAATACACCCTCATGAATACCCCAAAATATATGAGGGCAGATTAGTGGCTGGGGGTCAACATGTCTTTTGAGCCCAATTTCACTGGTTTCAGTTTCCCTTGTACTGTAAGAGTTGCACAAAACTGCTATTTGGCTCCATTGAATGTACATAACTCTAAACCCTCAGATTCAAATGATGAAAAAGGTGATGTCATCTCATTAAAGAGATCCTACACCTCTGTACTCGAGCCACCTCAATTACCATAATCTATTGCCTTATTTTTCACCAAAATGCAAGACTGCATTCACTAATGAGTAATGACTGAGTGAAACTTATGTTTGGTTTTCTGGGTCTCGTTATGTGGCTGCTGTTGGCTGGGAAAACAGGCGTGGGGATTGTTTGGCCTCTTTATGAGCTCATGGCTGTTGCTTTCCTTTACCTTCAGTGTCTGCTAACTGCATGGTGGAGAAAAGCCCCCTGGTCTGGGTGTCTACAGCTGGCAGACAGGCCTGTAGCCTGCAGCCTGCAGCAGGTCCACGCCATCACCACCACCACACCATGTCACACTGCTGGCCTGGCTGACAACTAGAACGTACTGCCCCCCCAAACCCAAACAGACAGACACATGACGCTCCATGGATACGACCACCAGCCATGCAAAACACTCTGGGCCCACATGGAGGTAAAAGTCCACTATGAAATGTGAGTGAGAAAAAGGACTAGTATGAGTGATGGAAGATTGCATAATGTGTACGTCTGTAAGTTTAAGCATGGAGCTTCTGTGACGCACCACAGTCAGACCATGTGTTGGTCTGAGCTGTCAGCTGCCAGGTGATTGTTAACCAAAAAAAAGCTGGATTTTAACCCTCATACCACCAACATATTTTACATGCATGGATTGATTACCAACTAGGGTAATTTTGACCCCAAGAATAAACTATTGGAAAGAGCAACAATCATAGCAAAATATCAACTTAATTATTGTCAAAACATCATGTAAATAATGTTATCTGAAATAAAAAATTACATAAGCAGACTGTTGTTTGAGCAAAATTACGAAAATATAAATGCTTCCCTTAAATAATGTGCAGCTTTTTTCCAAAGTACAATCCACATGAGTACTAAAAAGCTTTTTTACCATCATTTGATTGTAGTATGATGTAGTTTTTTTGAATTTTGGGGTAAATATTAATTTTGTCATATTTATGTGGAAATAACAACTGCCACTGAATTTACTTAATTTTATTGCCAAAAAGTGATTCATCCATTGATCCTTAGAGACAATAGCTAGGTTTCCATCCAATTGGCGGCAGATTTTCATGCGAATATTCTAAGATCTGCATAAAAACAATATGCACATTTTCTCACCAGAGATGTGTTTCCATCAAAATGACCTGTTGCGGATAAAAGGCTGTGCGTGATGAAGTAATGCATATAAAAATAGCTTTTGTGGTAAATTCCCATGTACCAAATAAAGAATACAAGTTAAATGGGTTTCCATCGCATTTTCAACTCTACTGATGGTTTTGTAAAAAATGATATTGCATTATATTGCGAATGTGCCCACTCTGGTTTTGGCACGTGCGCTCTAGCCAACAGCTCGCAGATACAGTGTGGGTAGGGTAGCCTAACTAATGAGTTTATTATGGACAAAAAAGTGAGATTATTTTTATTTGTCAAAAGGAAGCCAAGCATCGATCATCATGTCTTAAGAATAAGACCCTCAATATTTATTGGAAAGAAGCATCAATCACCACATGCACTTTCACCACCCAGTGAAGTTCATCGTAACTTAATTAATCTGTAATAAATAGACAGATAAATATAGGTTATATTTACATGAGTGTTTCTAACCCACTGGTTGACCTTTTCTTGCGGCAGCAGGTCATACATATTTGCTGCTGGGATTGCACACTGCGGTATTTTGCCTACCAGATATGGGAGTTGGTCAAAATTTGATTTGTGTTCGAATTCTTTGTGGGTTTGTGTTATTTGAGGGAAATATGTCTCTTATGTGGTCATACATTTGGTAGGAGGTTAGAACGTGCAGCTCTGTGTCCACCTCATTTTGTGAGCAGTGGCCACATATCCTGTATTTTATTGAGAGCCAGGTCTCCTTGCAGGTTAGGACTTTGTGATGGAAGGTTTGAGCATCGCTTTCCTTTAGGTGGTTGTGGAATTTAACAACTATTTTCTGGATTTTGATCATTAGTGGGTATAGTCCTAATTCTGCTGGGGTTTTGTGTTGTACTATTTTTGCAGAATTCTGCATACAGTATCAATTGGGTGTTTGCCCCTTTTTCTGAATTCTTGGTTGGTGAGTGGACTCCAGACCTGACAATCTGATTGGAGTATTTTTTGCCAGATCCTAATTGGGATGTGAAATTGTATGTTCTTTTTGATGGCGTAGAAGGCCCTCAGATCATTCACAGCCTTGTGGAAGTTACCTGCGGAACTGATGTTTAGGCCGAGGTATGTGTAATTCTTTGTGTGCTCTAGGGCAACGGTGTCTAGATATAATTTATGTTCGTGGTCCTGGCATCTGGACCTTTTTTGTAACAGATCTAGGTGTTTAATAGGCCCTCCTTGGTTGGGGACAGAAGCACCAGATCATCTGCAAACAGTAGACATTTGATTTCAGAGTCTAGTAGGGTGAGGCAGGGTGCTGCAGACTGTTCTAGTACCCTCGCCAATTCATTGATTATAAATGTTGAAGAGGGGGGGGGGGCTCAAGCTGCATCCCTGTCTCACCCCCAGGCCCTGAGGGAAGAAATCTGTGTGTTTATTGCCATTCTTGGCCATTGGGGTTTTCCCCCCAACACCGCTTTCCAGCAGTTTATACAGCAGGCCCTCATGCCAAATTGAGTCAAAAGCTTTTTTTAAATCAACAAAGCATGAGAAGACTTGTTTTGTTTTGTTTTGTTTGTCAATTAGAGTGTGCAGGGTGTATACATGGTCTGTCATACTATATTTTGGTAAGAACCCAATTTGACATTTGCTCAGGACATTGTTTTCACTGAGGAAATGTTGGAGTCTGCTGTTGATGACACTGCAGAGGATTTTCCCAAGGTAACTGTTAACACAGATTCCGCAGTAATTATTGGGGTCAAATTTGTCTCCACTTTTGTGGATTGGGGTGATTAGACCTTGGTTCCAAACATTGAGGAAGATGCCAGAGCTGAGGATAATATTGAAAAGTTTGAGTGTAGCCTACTTTTGTGGTCTGTATATATTATAATTTCATTTAGGATACCATTAACACCACAGGCCTTTTGGGGTTGGAGGGTCTTTTATTTTGTCCTGTAGTTAATTCAATGTAATTGGAGAATCCAATGGGTTCTGGTAGTCTTTAATAGCTGATTCTAAGTTTTGTAAATTGTCATGTACTGTATATGTTTTTGCTGTTGGTTCTTTGTTTTATGGCCGAAAAGGTTGGAGAAGTGCTTTATCCATACATCTCCATCTTGGATAGCTAGCTCTTCGTGCTGTTGTTTGTTCAGTGTTTTCCAATTTTCCCTTCAGTCATATTGAGCTGTTTTCTGACATGCTTTTTCTGAGTGTATTTCTGTGCTGTTTTAGTGTTTCCCAATAGTGAAGGCATATGTTCTGGTTTTCTGGGTTTTGGCTGGATAGGGTTCTACATTTCTTT